TGTTAAAACTGATATTTGTAGCAAGCATTGAAAGTCTTGAAACCACCATTGTAGGCTGTGAACACACACCACTCGAAAGGTAAACAATTAAGAAAGGGGTAACGCAAGAAAACACTTTTACTGCTGTGGACCTGCTACTGCATGCATCTGACAAAACATGAAAAAAAATGGGCTGAGTTCATATTTTCTCATGCGACTCAAATGGAACAGCGCGAAGCGCCCAGTCCATTTGAACTAACTAGCCACATAACAGTTATGGGCTAATTGGCCTGTTTCAAAAGTGGTGCTACTACCATGCTAAGCTGGCTCGACTGTAGCTCGACTGCAGCACGACACCAGCACGACTTGGTTTCAGACGTCGAATTTAATTCAGTTGAATAGAACGGCTGTTACCCAAAACAAAACACAAAAATAAAGAAACGGTTTAGTAAACTTTTAAATGATTCCTAATGTATTTATTTTATTAATTAAGTTCGGCACGGCAGCAGCGCGACGTTTAAAACCAAGTCGAGCTACTGCCGTGTAGCGCGTGCTACACGGCAGTCCGTGCTACACGGCAGTAGCACGATTCAGTTTCAAACGTCGCGCTCCTGCCGAGTTAAAGTAGAATTTTTTTCGATCAATTTAGATCGGCACGGCAGTAGCACGACGTTTGATACGGGCTTATCTCAGTCAAAACGAGACTGCTGGTGATTGACAGGATATATTGAGCATTGAGCAGGTCTCCCGGAATCAATCTCGTCCTCAGAGCCTCCGTTACTTTTGTCCAGCGGATTGTGTTTGCTCTTCATTTTGACACGCGTGACAAAATAGTGACAGACTGGACAAAACGATAGTGAAAGAAAAGGGAAAAAAAGAAAAAAGGGAGTAAAATTAAAACGTCACGCCAAAAATGAACCTGCTTGCCTCAGTTTTGTTAACAGTTGTGAAAGGTTTGAACCCAGGAGTCCTGAATGGGACTGTTGTTGTTGACAGTGACTGACGTTTTGACAACCTGTACGGTAGTCATCTTCAGAGTGAAAGTGAGTTGTATCACGTCTGCAGAGTATAATACCATCAACTGACGTGATACAACTCACTTTGACTCTGAACATGACTACCGCACAGGTTGTCGAAACTAAGTCACTGTCAACAACAACAGTCCTATTCACCTTTGTCAATATTATTGCACTGACCTGTCCTAGCGATCGAGTAATGACTTCTTTGTACGTAAATTAGAGTTCGTTTAGACACAAAGGTAAACAATCTTCGACCAAACAAACACAACAGCGCAACTAAGCTTCTCTATAATGATTTTCCTTAAACTGGTTGCAAGTAAAACAGTAGCATCCACCGACTCAAATGAAACCTTTGTTAACAAACAGAAACAGCATCACAGGACGATAAAGGTATTAAACATTATAGCTATGATGAAATACTGGCCTCTCCAAGTAGACACACTTTAGACTTAATCCACAGAAGGTCTAGAGTCAAAATCAAACTGCACACCACAATAAAAAGTAACACAGGAAATTACTCCTCGGGAGGCTTTATTGCAATGATCAGTATCATAAACAGCCCTCATAAATGCCTTTCCCTGGATAGCCTGAGTTGGTTAGTGAGTACAAGATCCACACAAGAACAAGCCGATGAATCTGCAGAATTTTTACTTTTAGTATTAAATAGACCTTTTTTTTCAACTTTTTTTTCAACTTTACAACTTTCAACGGCAAGCGAATATCCATCGAATCTGCCGAGGACTGGACCTTAAAAACGATAGCTTACCAATTTACCGATCGAGGGGAAACGTCCAAAGAGAGCGGAGATAATTGCTCCTCAACGTCGCAAAATTTCACAGCCGTTTGTACGGTGGGGGGCACGAACTTGCCCCTCACCATACAAATGTCTGTAATATTCTGCGACTTCGCGTTATGCAAATCTCCGTTAGTTTTCAACAAATCACTTTCAAACTTGGCAACTTTACTGATTAGGCGTTCTTTTAAGCCCTGTTAACGGATTTCAACTAGCTGTTCCTAGTCAAAAGCTGGAAAAAGCCCTGCAAGGGACGGTCTATTGAACTCAACTGCCACATAAAATACTCCAACTATTAGTGTCGTTTGTCTTTCCCCCACCCTTTTTAGCCTTTTAAAACCAATGAAAGTAATAAAAAGTTTTGCATTTCGCACTTGCAAGACATGATACTAGCATAAATTTGATCCTATACCAGAATTCGTACTATGCATGCAAGTACATTAAAAGGCAAAAAGGAAACCTGTTTACGTTTCTCAGTTTGGGAACCAAAAACGTCTGGGTGTCAGATAGAAATTAAGGCTGAATTTTGTACATGTAAAAGGCGGTTATGCAAATTAATATGGGATATCAAAAATGAGGAACTATTCATAAAACAGATGTTTCTAATCTTTTGTTTCAGTTGAAAATTTAAAAGAACAACAATAAAAAAACGAACAAAAGCCTTAAAATGAAATATTTTAGAAAGAGGATCAAGTTTGTTTTCCGAGAAATAGATTTATTCAAATAACAAAAGGTTGTTAAAACTGTTCATTTTGTTTCGAGACTAGAAAGCAGACGACAGAAAAAATATATAGCTTTGTAAATAAAAAGGCCATATTCACTCCTGGCTGAAAATTTTAATACAGTTAATATGACATATTGCGGTAATTTTGTTTGATAGTGGCTCTGTTTAATGGTAAACATCTTATTTATAACAATAAATTAAAAAAAGCAATTAACCCCTACGAGAAGAGATCACGTATTAAAATACACTGATGTGCAACAAAGAAAGAGGAAACCACAAGTCATTATATGTAGTGCTGTAAAAGTTCAGTGAAAAGGCGGTTACTTGCGTGTTTGGAGGTGTTGAAATGTGCGGTTAAATTTTGACGTGACGCTTTTTGAGTCTTAATTAATATACGGGAATTTAACCTTTTTTATTTTCCAAGGAAAATGTGAGTTTTTTCATCTTAGATAATCCGAGGATGCTGATAACAAGTTATTTTACGACAAAGTGGTCCGTAATAAATATCACAGGTCAGGGTAGAACAAAGCTCTACAAATCACTGCCAATTGAGAAAAAAAATGCAAACCTAAGTTAGTCTTCAACCCGAAAGTGTTTGAATTAAACTTGATAAAATATGAAGTAAACAATATTAGGGTACATCTTATATATCTCTCAGCAAAACACTGAAAAAAGAATAAAACTAGGCTAGCGAGTTTAAATTTTTGCTCTCTACGTTGGATTAAAACTTTCAAGTCTTTATATCAAATAATCCAAAAATAAGTTAACGGATTAAGAGTTTTCTTACCTCAAAATCTGAAAAACCTCGAACTTTAAACGCTTTCTGTGCTTTGTAGCGAAGGAGAAAATTATGGCTCTATTCCTGTCTTTTCTGGGAAAGACTTGTCCCGTGTAGTTAAAAAAAAACGTTTGCTAAAAACAGCTTTCAGAGTTGTTGCCTGGATGAATAGTGACTAGAGCGACGTTATAATGGACAATGTTCATTTGCAACCGTTCAAGAAACCGCCTGTACTAACAGCCACTAATTGCTGAATGTGTGAGGAAATTATATTCAAAATTAATTTTCTCCGTATTATCAGGGTTCTCGTTAAGAAGCTTTCAAGGCGTTCGAGCGGTGATGTTATGTTTATTTGTTATTATCTCTCACAACACAAGAGCTTCATGAAACAAGAAGATCTATTAAGAAGCCGACGGGGAAATAAGTCAACATATATCACGTCGCAAAAGGAAATAAAAGGCAGGGTGGCAATATCATTGGCTGTTTTTTTGTTATGGTATATTTTGATATTATTGCCTTATAAAAGTCAAAGATGAAGATGATTGAGATTGACAAATGATGCGTAAATTCATAGCTATTCAACTAAATTTAGACCGGAAAATAGTAGATTCGTAAAAGCTTTATATATGAAATATATCATCTTTCACAAGGGCAGCGCTTTAATACACCCAACATTCTGCCAGCTCTGCTGGAAGAAGCTTTTTCAAAGATAATAATATCGATCTTTAGTGCCCCAGGGCACCAAAAATCTTACTGGATAATAAATAATGTGGGTAAGTTTCACTCACTCGCTGATTACTATCTAAAAGGGTTTACTAAACCCTTTTCAGGCCATTCCAATAAAACCATTGAATGGTTTTATTGGAAATATTTTAACCTTCAGTCTGGCGAATTTTTTCACAACTCATGTAGTAGGTTCGATAAGATGTTGCATATGGAGTCTTATGGGACGAAAGAACAGAGAGAAGCTTGCTTATAGACTTTTCAAGGTGAACCTTTCCATAACCGTTTGCGTTTTGCAATTATTCACGTGATCCTTCCCGCAGCACTTGAGCCGCGACTAGCACAACCTCGTTCCCACGGTCCTCCCGTCCCTGCTGAGCTCTGCAGGGCCAGGCAGAAGAGGACCCTGGAGACAAGGTTGCAACCTCCACTGATAATCTAGAGAAGGGCCTTGGTACGAGTCAGTACACTGACCTTACAAACACGATGAGAGAAACAGAGCAATTTAAAAATACAAAACAGCTAGCTAGTGTGAGACAAAAACAAATTAACAACATATCTCTACTTCAATAAGCTCCCAGTCTAAGGCGTCAAAAGTGAACAAAAAACCCCATGGGCATTTAAATAATCTACCCATGAGGGGATGTTTTGGGTAAGTAAGTAGGTAACTTTGTGATATTATGAAATGCATCGGTTGTTGCGTGCTTTTGATCATAATCACACGGAAAAGGCGCGTTATAAATTTTTAATTATTATTAAAACAAAATACATGTACATTTAAGTTATCTGTTTAATGTATGAGACAATGTTCTAAACATGAGTCATTTCATATATTTCCATTCATTCAATGTTCTAACAGTTGAAATGGTTTGAACCTAGGAGTCATGCCATATGTAGACTGAATAATATTATGTCTTGCCCCAATGCATTTGAAGATTGTCTTAAATACTGATCAGGACTTAAATTTTCGCCAAAAAAAAAAAATTAAAGGAACAAGCAGAGTTAAATTAAATGAGGAATATTGTGGTTTTTTAAAGATAATTCGCTCCTTTATTTTATAAAAAAAGGAAAGAAAAAAATCCCAGAACTGAGCCAGTCTTTCACAATTGCAACCTAGTTCCTTCAAAATCCAACTGCTGATCTGCAAATTATTCATCTTGGGTAAAACTTAGTGCCACCAGGTATACTCTCTTTATAAAAGGCCTTTTTAGCCTTGATGTTTTGAGAATTGAGACTACGTGATGGTACCCTAGAGAACTGTTTCTTTCAAACAAATGTTATCCTATACACGTGTATACATGTACATGTACATGCATACATATTTAATGAAACGAACAAAGGCAAATTCCCTTCAGAACGTCACATGGTCTAAATTGTTAAAAAGATATGATATTAAATATAATTTTATATATACATGTAAGCTACACATGTATATTATCACTGTCAGTGAGTTCTCCACACCTGGAAAAGGTTCTATCACAGACAAGTTTGCTTACACTTCACATAAACCTTTTTCAGTGCCTTAAAACAAGGTTTGTAGTGTACTGTGCTATTCCAAAAATCCACACTGGTTTACTCAGAAAACAGAGCTAGAATTAAGGATCAGTACTACCAATAGTTCAATGCACTTTTTGAGCAATTATGTAAACTTTTTCTTTGTTGCTGTAAAACGTGCCATGTACTGTGGAGAAAAGAAAAGACAACATTTCTCAACATTATACAGTACATGTATAGCTTTGAGATGATTGTGTCAAGGCACACAAGCAAAGCATGGCTTCAGTTTATTACAGTTGTGTTATAAACGAGTTTAAAACAAAGGAAAATAGGAACAACAATATGTACCATTAATTTTGATGAATCATTAGGCCTTCAAAGATTCTGCGCTGTTGGAAAGATTTGACCGTACAGAGTATGGGCCAACTAAAATAATGCAAAGGTTTGTCACAGAGTTGATGGGCAGGTTCAGAGTCATTAGATGGGTTTGAATGTTCACGAATTTGCACCTACACATTTCTCATGGTCTAACCAATGTTACTGTCACCACAAGAACAGCCAAATATGTACTATCGTTACAGTAATAGTCACTTTCCCCTCACAATAATTGTTGATATAATCACACCTACAGCCAACAATGTATTAACTACACTGATTGCATGTATCATTGTAATTACCTGGTCATAACCTTCTGTCTCTCTCAGTTGTTTAATATCAAACAAGTTGCCTTCCACAGCAAGCAAAGAAATTGATGACTCTTTCAGAAGTTGTGGGGTGACTGCTTCTAAAGGCAAACAATTCTCTTCTATTCTTAATACCTTAAGGCGAGTGCACCTAGCCAGACTATCTGGGAGTGATGCAATTTGATTTCTGTTCATATTAAGTTCTACAACTTGCAGATCTCCAACAGAACCAGGGAGAGTGCGTATTTTGTTATCAGCCAAATCAATTGCATCTAAATGTCTTAATGCACCAAGGCTTTCAGGAAATGCTGTCAGCTGATTTGATGAAAGCGAGAGGTTTTTCAGATGAGTCAGGTTTGTGAAAAGTCCAGTAGGAAGGGTCTTGAGACCATTTTTGTCAACAGCTAAGATTTCTAACTTCTTCAGCTGTGAGAGTTCTGATGGCAAGGAACCTGAAATCAAACATTGAAATAAACATGTGATAAATAATGATCCATGTAATGTAACGTAACATAACATAATGTAACATTATTGCATGGGAGTGTGCATAGAGGTGAAGAGGTCAGGCTCCAGATGTTCAAAAGGTGGATAATATACTATTCACTGGATAAACTTCTATCAAGTGGAGCATAATATTGGTTTCCCTGATACTTACCCACTGGATGTAGTGATTAATCCAGTATATCCAACGTTTGAACAACTGGAGCTAGGAATTTAGAGAGCCCAGCTGAGTTGGACTCTTGAGATCTATCATCTATTGTAAATCCTCCACTAAGCCCCTAGAGGGAGCTTACTAATTTAATTCAAGTACATTTGAGGGGGGCTTCAATAATACAGAAGGGGGGGGGGGGCTTATTTAAGAGGTGGGTTTATTTAATTAAACAAAGCAATGGTATCAGTTCTCCATAACAAACTAGAATACAAAGTGGAAAAGCTCAAGTATAAGAAGGTTGAAGTTGAAGGTCATGCAGCCGAGAATCAAAAACAATTCTGAACCTCCAGTTGATGAATAAACCATCCTGGATCAGTCCACACAAAGGTTTACAGTCATGATTGATTAATACAGTCTATCATTATTGCAGAATAATGAGGGGGGAGGGGAGGAGGGGGGTCTTAAAAGAGAGGGAGGGGCTCATTAACCTTTTTCCCCTGAAAAGGAGGGGGGCTTATTAGAGAGAGAAGGCTTATTTGAGAGGGGGGCTTGATAGAGGATTTATGGTATGCAATGTATTAATGAATTTAGTTCACCTTTGGCTTAATCTTCAAAGCCTTTTCCACCCTTTGTAATAGTCAACTGCCCACAGGAAAAGAAAGACAAAGGGGGACCCAATCAATATACATTTACAGATCTTTTTCTTTGACTGAAAACTAAATCAGGTGTAGATTTTCACTTTTTACAGTACTGTAGGGAGTAATAATATTATTAAGATTCAGAACATACTGTAAACACCAGTACAGCTTTAAAATTATTATTCGTAAATAATTATTTCTACATTAATAGTGCCTTTCCCATTATTAAAATCAAGGTACGGTAAACCTCTTAAAAACTAAAGGTAAATGAGTTGTAAATTGAAAAAATTATTTCCATTAAATGCTTACCAAGGTGATTAGATGTCAGTGTCAGGCTCTTAAGGGAAGTAAAGCCTCCAACTGCTGAAGGCAGGACTTTGATTCTGTTATTGGACAGATCAAGTGTTCGCAAAGATGCTCCCAGACGAAACAGCTGAGGAGGAACCTGTCAGGTTTTGGAAATAACTTGGGTTAAACATTTGGTGACTCTTCATGTTATTACAGCTGTACTAATGGTCAAAGCTAAATAAAGAAACAGCCTTTTACAATTCACTGGAAAAGTGCTTCCACCCAAGGAACTCCTATTTTAATATTGCAAAGTGACTTTTACCCACAGACGTTATAGCCTTAAGGAATGATGTACATGTATCATTATCTCCATAATATGAGCAGGATAAGGAAGTTACATGTAATCTTAACTCAGGAGATAACAAAGAAATTAATACATGCCTTCATTATGAGCTGCCTCGATTATTGGAATTATCTTCTTTACGGTTTGCCTTCCTCTCATTCCGAAATTACAACGCGTGCAAAACTCTGTTGCTAGACTTGTATAATTATACAGCTCCCAGATACTCCTTTGTTAACTAAACTTCACTGGTTAAACATTAAACACAGGATTGACTTCAAGATTATTCTTATTATGTACAAGGCCATTCATGGTGTAGCTCCGCCATAATTATATCAGTGATCTCACTTCACTCAAACTGAATTCTAAATATGGACTGAGATCCAAAGACACACTACTGCCGCAGCTGCCATCTGTTAGGACATCCCCTACCCTTGGGAACTGGGCCTTTTCAGCTGCCGCCCCAAAACTGTGGAACTCACTAACCTATTTATTAGATAGTAATAGATAGATAGCAATTTTGATTACCTTATCATTATTTTAACAGTATGGAACTTACTATGTAATTTTAGATTTTAACCATTTAATCCATATAGTCTATATGTATATGTGTGTGTGTAAACATCGTTGACTGTAATTTTAATTTTACTAATTTTATACTTTTGTATGTGTAGTTTTCTTTTTAGAAATTGAATGTAAAGTGCATTTGCAAACCCGGAGTTGAATTTGCACAATAGAAATGAATAAATTATTTTTATTATTATTATTACTCATTCAAAATATTTCCTTGATTCTGATTGGCTAAAAGCACACGTTTAATTCACCATAACCAGTTTCTGATGACCAAATTTGGAAGAATTTTGTGTTTAGCGAGGAAATGACGTCAAAAATGCAGCGTTCTTGTAGGTTAATGCACCGTTAACCAAGAAGACCTGGGGACGAGGTTGAGTTGTTTTGGTTGTGAACTTGAAAAATGGTGGACATTTCACTCGTTTCAAGAGTAAGAACTAGGCAAAAAAATAGCTAAAAACATGGCAAGAACACCAAGAAGACAACTCAAAGGGCGACACCTGCTATTTGGAGAATATTTGCGGAGCTGGACAAACCTAAACGCGCACTATCAAAGATGAACTTAACATCTATGGATCGATGGAAGTAAGCAAGTTTTAGCCATGTTTTTAAACTAGGAATTATTTTGAATGAAAAATAAAACAATTATTGAATTCCGCTTTCGTATCATATGAAGAATTATGGAGATTTCGGAGGGTGTTATCCGTCGAGGCCGTAACACCCTCCTCGATCTCCATAATTCTTCATAAGATACTCAGCCTCATTCATTAATTGTTAATTATCATTATGAAGAACAGTTCTCCAGAAATGGGTTATCTTAAGACTAAGACCTCATAAATTAAGACCTACCTTTAAAGAAAGACCTCAAAAGTTAAGACCTCTTGCAACCAAAAAATGCATTTTAAAATGAAACTGGGGCATTGACTGCGATATTAAGAAAGCCACAACTAGCATTGTCTACACTGACATAACCAACCTAACACAATCAAACGATTTGTAGATGCGACTGTAATAACAGCAGGGTATAGAGTATCAATATTTATCATAGTGTTTAGTTTTATTCAGAGATTCCAACCCTCCCATTTTGGCTGGAAAACTCCTGTTTTCGGCAAATATTTCCAGCCTCCTGCTTTTGATTAATGATCTCCCGGTTTTCGAAACTCTTTTCTTTTTCCTCTTCTCTTTTTTTTCACAAGTTCTAGACAAATTAACGCGAGTAGTTTTTTCAATCCGTCTGAACCACAGGGAGCCCGCACAATCTGTTTGTGTAGCCGATTGTTATTTTATAGGAAATGTTCTGGCTTTACCGTTTGCCTCACCTATAGCGATATGTCGCTAACTATGTATATAAATTAATGATAAATAAACGTTGAATTACCTTACCTGTGGTATATAGTCGTCCTTTTACCTCAAAAGCGGTTTTTTTGAGCAATTTTGAAGGAGTTTGAATTCGCCGTTGACTGTTCCTTATAATAGAAGGACAAGGGTGGAATCCATGTTTTGAAAGGGCTCCAGTGCCGGAGCAATTTTCCCCGCAAAAATCGCATCGCTCCGCTCTCAAACCCCGTAGCAAAAAGATCGAAAGATTCACGTTTCTCCTCGTACCTTCCAATCGAAAATCCATCCAAACAGCCCGGAGCTAGCCCTCGAAGAAAATTAAAATCCCACAGTATTCGAGCGGCAGGAATGCGTAGCAAGATTGATACGTGCCAGCCAGAAACCGTCCCGCTGATTGCCTCTTTTTGATTGGATGTCGTTAAACAACAAACGCTTACCAAGTCTTCTTCATCAGTTATTATTTAACCATTTGGTTAACGACATCCAATAAAAAAAAGGCAATCAGCGGAACGGTTTGTGGCTGGCACGTATGAATCTTGCTACGCATTCCAGCCGCTCAAATACTGTGGGATTTTAATTTTCTTTGACGGCTAGCTCCGGGCTGTTTGGATGGATTTTCGATCGGAAGGTACGAGGAGAAACGTGAATCTTTCTACCTTTTTGCTGCGGAGTTTGAAAGCGGAGCAATGCGATTTTGGGGGAAAAAATCGCTCCGGCACTGGAGCCCTTTCAAAACATGGATTCCACCCTTGTCCTTCTATTTTAAGGAACAGTCAACGGCGAAATCAAACTCCTTCAAAATCGCTCAAAAAACCGCTTTTGAGGTAAAAGGACGATTATATACCACAGGTAAAGTAATTCAACGTTATTTATCATTGATTTATATACATAGTTAGCGATATATCGCTATAGGTGAAGCAAACGGTAAATCCAGTACATTTACTATAAAATAACAATCGGCTACACAAACAGATTATGTGGGCTCCCTGTGTCTAAACTCTAATACACTGTATATTGGGTCATGGATCTTTAAAGGTCTTAGTTTTCAAGGTTTACCGTTTTCAAGACGATGGTCTTTGGCACTGATGACTAAGGCTCAACTAACTGTTTCCCAAACTAAAAAAAAGAAGCCATATTGTACAGTGCACACTCTAATTGGCTAAATCATTGTAAGTCAGTGCATTTTAATTTTAGGGGATCGTGGATCGATCGTTCTTACCTCAGAAAGTCCTTTGCCACAAAGAGAGCAAACACCGGTTTTTTGTGCACTTTCCAAATGCGGTGATATTGAATTACCCATTCTTTGAGAAATCTACAGGCTTTGGGTAGGTGTCGTCCAAAACCTTTTCAATTTTCGATGAAATTTTACGGTCCAAAAATGGAGGAATTGCATGTAGTGATATTTTCAGTTTTGAGCCTAGTAGCCTGGCTATTTTAGAGAGCGGTTACAATTCCAAGATGGCGTCTGCCGGAAGAAGACATGTTCTTTTGACTGGATCTCCAGGTAAGTATCTTTGTTTTCTAGTTAAAAAAAATGTACGTGGGTTAACTGCTAACTCCTGAAAAAAAGATTTAGAAAAATTTGTAAAAAATTGATGTTTACAATATGAATTATAATTATAGCCTATTGACCTCTATTCCCGGCCTTTAAGATGAATTGATTCAAGAGTGCTAGCAGCTCTTCTGGCTGTTGCATGGGCATTTAGCAGGATTTAACCAGCAAAAGAGAAAAAAGAAGATATCCTGTTGATTGAGAAAATATCTTGTTGATGATTCGAAAAAAGACTAGCAAACTGTCTGTCCCGGATGCCATTTTGATAGATGGTGTGGACAAAAACGGCACTGACCCCAGTCCATGGACTACCCATGTGGACTACCCTAAATTAACCTTCGCCGCTGACGTTAAGTGATTAGGGTAACGAAGCTGAGTGAACAGGGTCATTATACTGGGAAAACTGACCAGAAACTTGTTTCACTCAGTGTCGTTAACCGTAAGTGAGTGAAGACTTCCAATAGGCTAATTGGTATGAGGTTCCAGCAGAGTTCCAGTTAAGCACACTCCCACTCAAAATAATATCATTAAGTTTTAAAACTATTAGGTTACCCTTCCAAGGCTCTGGCCTTCCCAGAGGATGCTTAAACAAATCTGAGGTTGAAGAAAATTAAGCTTTACAGTGAAACTATAATATTAGCTAAAACAAGTTTGTCTAAAATTAGTGAATACCTTTTTTACCAATTTCTGCATAATTTCTTGCCTGGATTTTAGACAGGGTATATAATTAAGCTAAAGTGTATAGGGGCAGGAAAGTGCAACTGTGAGCTTTAAGACCATGTCCTTTTAAAAAAGTCAAACAGCCCAGAACATGAAGAAAGTCTTCTGGTTTAACTAAATTATATGCAAATTAATATTTGCATGTAGTTTAATTTCCATCTGTTACAGAATTTGTTTAGACTGACATGTTAGTAACATGTTTCTCCAGCAACTAACATGTCCATTGTAGCTGTTAGTTCTTCAGGATCTTGTGGATGAAGTGTTTGAAGAATTCTTCAAACAGCCACGCTCACTACTGGAATTTCTGGCAATTGACAGTTGTCACCTGCTTTTATCCATCCAGCAATCTTCTAATATATCCGGACAAGGTTCAAATAGCCATAATGGCAATCAACAAACAATTCATTGGGCAGGTTGTTGTAGGCCCTTTGTCTATTTTGCATAGCTATCATGCTGGCATTATCTGTACTCCACTTGACTTTATATACCCTGGTATCAAGTGTTCAAGGAGCTGTTGGTGGAGTGCCACCTCATCTCCTGGCCAACTTCTGCCTAGAAACAATTTCCATCGTACAATTTAGTACCTGCCTCTTCATCAATTTCCTGGCAGAGGCAAGTGTTAGACACTTGATAGTGCCTGCAAAGACAGGTCACATATACTGATTTCAGACTACCTGCTATCACTAGAACTGTATCTTCAGTAGTCTCTTCTTCCATACACATGACGTACTTTTCTGTCTTCCGTTGTTTGGATGTTGGCTCACTGTAATCCCTGTCTTCATTGACGAATGTAACACCCGGCAGTGACACGAGTTTCCATAACAACGATTCTAGATGCCAGGGCCGAGGTAAACAGTGGGGTTTCAATTGCGACTGGAAATACGTCTGCAGTTCGCAGGCTAATGCAATTGTGGTGAATGAAAACTTCACAGCACTCCCTTTTATAAGCACGCCGTTCAACAAGACTTGGAATAAATGGTTTCGGTAGACCACACCACCCGGGAATCTTCCCCTACTTTTTTAGAACAGGAGTGTGGGTTCTTTTATATCCCCTACAATTTGGCTAATGAAAGAAGAATGGAGGAGACAAAGCCAATGGCTTCAAATCACCGCACAATGACGCGATCATTTGAACTGAGACGCTCGGCAGACTGGTACTCTCCCAACTAAGATAACCGGGCGGCAGTTCCAGGCCTTTTATTCTTACTAGCGTTCACAAGACTGTTGACTGCTGACTGAATTTTTTATACCTTATCACTTGCTGACGTGATAGTTTTCTCCAGTTTGTTTCCATGTCATTGGGTCGCCAGTGACGACAATCCACCCTTCCGTTTTACACCATTGCTCATTCAGCTGGAAGCCTTAGCTAGGACGCTAATTCGCTCTTTTGTATCGCACAGTGCAAGTTATCTTCTAATCGGCATATTTCTGCTCAATGCGCATTTCAGAGCGCGTAAATCACAGGGTGACTAACATTTACCGAAAAAAGAACATCCCAGCACTTTTTTCATAGAGGTTCATACACCCTCAGACGATATCTCTCTCACAACAAAACGAAGCGTTCATGCACCAGGACTGACGAGTGCCCCGCTTCCAACACCATATTAGGGACCTTAAGATCCGAGTACGGCGACGGCAGCGAAAACGTCGCTGAAAAAGTGAATTCGCGTTCTTTCAATCTTCATCGCGATTACTCAACGTACTGACTTTGTCAAATGTAGGTGAACCCTCCTAAAGTTGAATTCCTAAGAATCATATCCAAGTTTAGAAAGAGAGAGGAAATTTCGTCGTTGCTTGTGTCCTTTCTCTGTAAAACGTGAAATTAGGCATTTCCACGTCGTCGTTGTGCAGTGAAGGCATTAAAAGCGTGATGCACGTGCAAAATTGTTGTTTTGGTTATTAAACCTATTGCTTTTTTGACATCCTGGTTGCCGTCGCCGTCGTCTGATCTTAAGGTCCCTATTGTGTTTTAGCGTGGGACCAGGCTCCGCACTGGGGATAAAAGAAGAAGAAAAATCGGCGAGCCCTTTTCCCCTCCTTAGTCCACCGCTGGGCTCGCTTCCCTCGCAGATTTTTTTCACTGTTTCATCCCATTTATTGCCTTTTTTCCCCACTCAGACTGCGGAGCCTAGTCCCAGGCTGAGAAACGGCCGTCTATCAGATCACGTCTCTGTAAGCAACAATTTATCGGTATCGTTAAACGTTTCGTTTACGATCGTATAAGAGAAGACCTTTTAGAATAACGAAAATTGCTCCGTTGAGAAACGCGTGTCTGCATTTCAAAAACAAAGACTATAAAGTCATCGAAATAAAGACCGTAAAAGAACAGACTTTCCGTTTGGGGGAAGGGGGCTGAAAATCCCGAGGAAACGGCGACGGAAAAAACGGACGATGGCCTGTTCACAAGACAGAAAGCGACCCTGCTAATTAATCTACGCCTCTTTGAAGCATTTTGCATGAAAAGTACCAGAAAAGTACAAAGTGGCCCTCAGTTCCCGTGAGGAATTCTGCAAATTCGAAGACCTTTTGTTGAATTCTCTATTTAATAGTGCATTTCGAGAGACTCTGTTCCATGACACCCGCTCATTGTAAGATTGTTTATCTATACCTTACTTTATTCGTATTCGTATTTTATATTTTACATACATTTTACATACTTTGGCCAATTCCTACACTTTTCACACATTTAACTTTCCATAAGTCTAAAAAATTGACAAACTATTGACACGAAGAATTCTCTTGCGGTGTATGATGATAATCTATTACTTTTTCTAATTTCTATCTACTAGGAGTTGGCAAGACTACCTTGTGCAGAAAAGTTTATGAAGTCCTCAAAGACAAGGGAGTTCATGTGCAAGGGTTCTACACAGAAGAGGTTCGTAGCTCTACCAAGGGCAGTAGAGTGGGGTTTGATATTGTTACTCTAGATGGACGACGTGGACAATTGGCAAGAATAAAGGGGTAAGAATTATAGTTTTATAATAGAAACGAAGCGTAGTGGTCCCTTTATCCATACTATGAGTTCATGTTCTGGAGTGGATGTTCTTTCAAGGCTGCTCGCACGGGCCGTAACATCATAAGGCAAAAATAAGTTCACAGTTTTAAATTTTGGCGCCACTTTGCCTCCAAATTCGAATTCAACATGAAGTATCAACGGAGCACACTACAACAGGAGTCGACTGAGTTGTTGGTGCACGTGCTCAGTTGTGTTTGTAGCTGCGTTTCGCGTAGTCCTGGTTTACACGTGCAATGCATCGTGTCAGTCGGAATTACTCAACGAGGAGCGAAAATGTACAACTTACTTGTTGCGTCGCACTGATGCCGGTGTCATTGATGTGAGCTTAAAATCGTGAGTCCACAGTCGGATGACGACTGTTACGCTAACAAATAGATTCCGGCATTTCGCGTATCGGTTCATTCATAGATCACAGATGAAATCAAAATGTTGTTAAAAGAAAAACAAAATTTGTAGTGCATAAGTGACAGAATTTCAAACGTTTTCGGTATGGAACTCAGGCATCAATGCTGGTCAAATGTTTCTTTTTGACGATACTACAACGTAGTTAGTGAAGAGGCGAGACCTCATTGACTTTGACATGCACGAGAAACACATTTTGGGGCGTTAAAAACAGAGGCCGTTAGACGTTTTAAGCCCCGTTGTTATTACACGGTCTTATGATTTCTATTTGTAGTGACGGTCAGACTGCCAGAGGGAAATCATCCCCTTCTGTGGGAAATTACTTGGTGGATGTCAAGTCCTTTGAGCGGCTCGCACTTCCGACTATAAGTCTCAACTCTGATACAATTAAGGTAAGCAGAGTATTGCAATAAAAAGGGCTCTAATTACCTTTTTTGGTAATAGTTGATTGAGAGTCGTCGTAAGGGGATACTCTACACCTAAACCGTCAGTTTTACGGAAAGATAGCCTGCCGCTTTTAAGCTATGGAAACATTTTCTGTTTTGCAAATTTCCACTTCTGTCAGCGTTGACTTTCAACCCATGCCACAAGGGGGAAACTGACTCTAAAAACTCTTTCAAATACTCGATCATTCATCAACTCCTTCAGCCTGATTACATGCCTAAATTCTTGGTTTACAGGGGACCTTAAACATGGTGGTTATAGTTGATGAAGTTGGTAAAATGGAGCTGTTTAGTCAGGACTTTGTTAACTCCGTTCGTGAGCTGTTTTCGTCGTCTCAAGCCACAATCTTAGCTACTGTACCTGCTACCAAGCAACGGCCCATCTTATTTGTTGATGAGCTAAAAAGAAGACCGGACGTTGAGCTCGTTGAAGTGAGTATAACATAATGAGGTAAATGGAATAGTTGACATCCATCTTTATTTTTAAGACCTTTTACAACTTACAGCTCATCTTCAGTGTGAGAATCTTTGTCTGAGAAAACAGCCGACATTTTTACGACGCCACCACTGGTTTCCCTATGAAATGACGTCTGAGAAACGGGCGCAGAATTTCCATACTGATGACGCGTCACTACCTAGATCTGGGAAGTGCTTCTGATTGGTTGAAGCAATCTTCCCACGCGGCACGACCAATCAGAAGCACCACCCAGTTCTGAGTAGTGACACGTCATCAGTATGGAATTTCTGCGCTCGTTTCAATTCTCAGGTCATTTCACGGTGAAAACAGTGATGGCGTTGCGAAATGTCGGCTGTTTTCTCAGGCTAAAAGAACCTTTGAAACTCGCTAATGCCGTAAAACAAAGGAAACAAAGAAGTCAACACAATAGCACCTAGAAAAACAAAAGGTGCAAAACAAAGAAAAAGTTCAGATTCTTTTACCGAGGTAAACCCCAACAAATGTAGAGTCGCACATGAGTCGAGACTGATCCCCCATGACCGTAAGGTATTTCGGTTTCTGTAGCACAAGGCACCAAAGAGCATTGACGCCGGGCCCTCCCTGGACGCTTTCCGCAGAATTACCCCAAGTAGGTTGTCGTTGGTACCCTCCTACAACTGGGTGAAGAGACAAAGTGAAAAAAAAAAAAGATTCTTGTCTAAAAACGTTTTATCATGAACGTGATGACAAGGCTTGAACAAGACATATGATCTCGTTTCTTGAAATTTGTGGGAAGCTCAAATGGCGGCAAACTTTGCATGGCCATTTTATTTGTTTTTTCGGCCTCGCTCTTCTGAAGAAAAAGAATGACAAACTTTCCGGTCATTTGAGCTTCCCGCCAACTTTTCTATGTATTAGGACTACATGCTGTCCATTTGGTTATAACTGAATTAAAAAAAATTCCGAGGAAGTCCGACCAATTTGACCTCCAGAGAAATTTTTGGAATCCAGTATTTCCAAATTTGACAAGCATATCATAGTCCTCTTCCTTAATAATTATATAGCTGGTTAGTTCATCCAGATTTGTTACTGTGGCACAGAAATAATATTGCACTAACCATTGAAACAAAAGCACAATAAGATTTTTTAAAAAAGGCTTGTTCTAATAGTGTGCCAACCTATCATTCACAAGGCACAAACCTAGTTCTAGTCTTGCTCTTGCACTTTTTGGCATTTTGTATACAAGTAATATTCAAATTCAAAGTAGACAGACTGCAAATTATCTTAGTTGCTAAAAAATATATATCTACGTGTCGCAACTGTTCATCAGTAGGATGCCTAAAATGCGTGCAAAGCTCCCTTTCTTCGATTTGTGCTTGTTCTTTGTTATGATCCAAAATTGCGGCTCAGGATGACTATTTGTTTCGTTAGGATCTCAGATGGTCTTCCACCAGGCATAAAGGGTTTACATTAAGTAAAAAAGAGGGGGAGAGAGTCAATGTTGAGCTCCTCATGCAGAGGTACTAGCAATACAGAGAATGTACATAATGGCAGTCAAATCGCCATCGCATGTCATTATCGGGTAATAACGTTCGTAAACGATATCTTTTATTTGCTTGCAGGTAACAAGAGGTACACGAGATGAGTTAGTCGGTAAGGTAGTAAGCATGATTGAAGACTCCAGAATGAAAACGTGAATGAAGGAAAGAACACTGAAAGAAGATATGGCGGTAATAATCATGCAGAACGGAGACTAAATCTCGTACTCCTCACTAAAACTGAAAGAATTCTTACTGATTAAATAAAGTTAACCAGTAAGTATAAATTCTATAAAAATGTGAGGATATCCAGCAGAAGTCAAGCCAACAGGCCTCGAGAGCTACGACACAATATAACTTCACAAGTAAAACTTCATTTCTCGCAAATATATAAAAACTGTCAAGATCGCACTCGAGTTCCTTGATAAAAATAAATAACAATAAAGACGACCAAGCACATAGGCCCGGCCAGGGGTGGATGCATTCCGTGTCAAGTTTGTTTACAACTGTATATGCGACTGATGTAGGCGAATCGTCACAAGGACACTCTTCTCACCACAATACATGTTGAAAAAACAGCACAATTGCCTTACTTCCAAAATTTTAGTCCCAGATACCAGATATTCTTTAAAAATGTTAAAAAATTCATTTGATATTGTATAAAGATTGATAAAGCGTTTTCCCTGACGTGGCAAGCATCTATGCAAATTTCTTGGAACGCACAAGAAAGCAAGACGCTGTGGGAGCGTATATTTGGGCGTCGTTGCACTAGGCCTACGTGACGTTTTTTAATTTTATAAGGGATATGTCAGTAGTGCAGTAGCGTTGCCTATTTTACGGGTTGGTTGAGACGCGTGGAGTGGAGTTTTATTGGACGTGGATTGGTAAGATAATGGCTGTGGTTTGTTAATCAGTGAAACTGGTTTCTAGTCATAGAATTCGATATGAAGTAACATTGATTTTAGGTGTTAAAGTGAGGTAGTTGTAGGAGGCTGGGAGTGCTAATTTGGTTATGAAGGGATAGTGTAAATACAGTCTGTTGAAATAAAGGGAAATAAAGGGAAAGGTCTTATCAATGGTCAAAAATGTTAAATGTTGTTAGGCCTTTTGTTTAGGATTTTCTTAAGGCTATTTTTGATAATATTTCTATGGAGAGAACGAGGATAAGGAAACGTTCAGTGAATTTGGAGAAGGGGGTACGAAGATGTATGGGGGAGGCTGAAATTTTGAGTGTGTGGGTTCGAAGACTTGTAAAGATTCGTCTGTAAGCTGCAACTGAATACAATGGCGCTGAATTCTATCCTGCACGTGGTTGGACTGTGTCATTCAAGGAAACCATATCTAGCCTGCCTGTTGTAACAAATCAGACACTGGGCTTCTAGAAATACGCAAACAAACACTCTTTCACCATCACATTTCTATCATTGCGCAAAAGCACATACGGACTTTCCAGACCTAGCAGAATGCAGGATGTTTGTCACATGAACATAGTTTAGTGGCCTTAGCTCCCGGTCACGAGTCCCCTGTAGCTCAGTGGTAGAGCGTGGGGACTACTGTAGTAACCAGAACCTCATAGGTTCGACTCCTGTTGGCAGTATTCGGATTCTTCCGAAACGCCTGTGTCACTAACCGAATACACATCTTCCTCACATTCTCGTTGTTTTGTGATTTTATTTCTCAGTTAGACTTAATTGCTAACGACGAACATTTCGTCAACCATAACGCTATTTCAGATGTTAACGTTCCTGAAAAGGAAGACTTGGGTTTGAACTGGAAGTATCTGAACGCACGTCACGACTGAGTCATGATGCTAAAAACTTCCTAAATTCAAACTCCCGGTCCCTTTAAATATAACCAATACACATTTATCTTAAAATATATATGTTTTGGGTAAGACGCATCGCCTCTTTATTTTTAGTCAATAAATAACTGAATTAGAAACTTATTCAATTCTCATTATAAAGAGTTACCTCGTTGTACAATATTTACCTTGTGTGTGCAGTTTAAACTGCCAATAGACCTTTTCGTAATCCAGCCCGTCATTTTGAACATGAGGCAAATACAAGCTTTTCAAGACATAAAATGATTAAACGAAATACGATGTCATCTAACTTTCATGTCACTTGATATGTGCAAAATTTTGATAGATAAAAATTTCAAGCTACTTAGTCAAACATTTTTCTATTTGTAAAAGCCGGTTTGTGCGAGATACTTGAAGCCAGAGTCCGGAAACGGTAGAAAACCTCTTCAGAAAAAAAGGGGGCGGAGATTTAAGTTAACCATTCAAAATTCTTTCAGACAAATCTCACGGGGCAAATTTACCTTTCGGATTTTCCAACACTCCACTTTCAAAACGGCGGGGTTGAACTTGAAAAGATCTGTACTGCAAGTTATAACAATTTCTGTGAAAAGCTAAAGCACAGAAAAATCTCGCGGAAACGGCTGGAGTAAGCAAACACTCTCTTCTTCGATGGAATCCAGCGTAAAATACGGACAACCATTTCACAGTGGGTCTACCTGTTGCTGTGGTAAAGTACTTGAGCACCGCTGTATGCTATAACCAACAATTATTTATCAATGATAACGGAAATATGGGTATGTCACTTGCGAGAGGGATTAAGCTTTACGCTTACGGCAAACAGCAAAGACGATAACACGATAGCTATTGTAGACAACTGCTACAGTTCGTCCTTGGGTTTTTCATGAACGTGAAACATCTCCCTTTACATCGAAAACGGGAAACATTTCAAAAAGGCTAAATGTAAATGTCACTTTGGAGAACATGTAACACATAAACGATGGTATCGTTTACGAAAAAAGGCCAGAACCAGATTTACGCCAGTAACCGTCTCTTTCGAACTTGCAGTATTTCCCTTTCAAGTACATAAATATCCTGAGTTGGGAAAATAAGAAACGCGATTAAGAGCAATGCGCGCGGGGAAACAGAACATTCAAATTGTGAACGGTAGACGCCATAAAAACACACAGTTTCAACTGAGGTGTTAGTCTGTATCAAAAGAAAGAACAGACCACAGAATCGACCAGAATCGGATCCGGGTCTTTTTTGCATGCTAATTTCTCTCCCTTTAGCACCACACTTGTACTTAGAACTTTGTTTTTCATATCTAATAAATAAAGGGTGACTCCAGCTCGTTCCCGAATTTTAACGTAGTTTAGGAGTTTCTGAAGACTATTCGAAAGTTTGGTTTTGCTTTATTATGACATAATCTACAGCCAGAGCTGCAAGGCTGTGTTACAAACGATTCCACCGACCGTTTGCGAAAGGGAAGGTCGCTGCTCCATAAACTACAGGGGGAATATAAGCTTTCACCACAAAGATGTCAAAAACTTCGGAGATCATTTGGGAGGACAATAAAAGCAATGATTGATCAACTGTTGCCTTTGGAGACTATCAGCCAACCATAACCAACGACTGCGCACCCAAACGATCCCTGAAATGGAGGCGCCGAAATCTTATAACTAATTTTCTTTCCATGGTTAGTGGAGTGGCGAGAAGGACTTGGGTAAGGAGAGAGAGGGAGCATTTGTCCTCAATCCCCGTCTCGCACGCAGCTATTACTCATGACGCACGTTTTCCATACGCCTACTTCGCAAGCTCCTGAGAGTCCAGAACCTTCACCCTTCAGGAGCGTTGTTCTTGATTGGCAAACATTGGCCTCCGTTTACCTAAATTGTGTCTTTGCTGTTAACAGTCAGTGTCCTGATTACCGGGAGTGTCCCCATTTATGCTCTCATTGCTTCTCCACAGCACTGATCCAGACTTCTGGGATCCATTTTGCAAAAGTAACGCTTCATAAACGGGGTTTGAAAAGTCCGCTTTGCTCCTACGGAACTCGACCCTTGGAGGCTCTCTTTCTCGTAACACCTCTGAGCCCATGCTGGCATCTGATCGATAAACTGATTCATACACCGGATTGGAGAACGTGGTAGCCTGGAAAGAAAAAGAAGGCCAGTTCAAACTTCGAACTTTTCGTGTACCGAACCTAGTTCCTTCAATTAAGTACACGAAAAGATGGACGTTCCATTATGGGTCGACCCATGATGAATATTGTTTTATTTTACGTGAATCTTGGTAATAAGAGAAAGGTGTAACACAATCTCGTTCCCAAAGAATGCGTTACCCTTGTCTAGTGGACGGTTGTTGTCCTTCCGTTAAACAACGGTACCGCGGCCTCTGAGAACGACGTTAGATGCACTAATATTTCTGTGTACCTTTTCGTCTTGTTCCCAGTTGAAGTCAGGATTTATGCTGCTGTCTTCATAATCTTCAAGCATCTCTTCATACAGAAATGATGGGTTTCCTACCTGTACAGTCGTCATACCGCTGTACTGTGCCTTTTTCATGCTAAGTACGATAAAAGAGAAAACATTTAAATTGAAGTTAAATAGCTTAAAGATAAGCAAACGTATACACGACATACACAGGAAGTAGGTGGAAAATATGTATCAAGTAAGCTTAAAAGCGGTTCCTCATGACCTGCAAAATGGTCACAGCCATTTGGCAAGGTTGCCTGTTAAAAGTAAACTAAAATACGATTTTTTCACAAGCCATAAAACAATAGTATCAACTGTTGGGAGGAAAAATATCAAAATACCAATGTTACATGACACGAATGCACGTAATCAGATAAAATGTAAGAACTGCAAAGTGGTAACTTTAATAATTCACAGGTAAAATGCCAATAAAATAATAGAACTTACGGGCCACGACGGCGACAGTAAACCAAGATAGCAATGGCGATCAATAATAGCAAGACCATCACCACAGGTACAATGATCTGCGGCGTCACTTTTAGGAGATAAAAAAATTATCCTTGTGAGAAAATGATTAATTCCGGCTCTATTAGAGGTAGCCTGTTCCAGGCTCTCTGATAGTGGGGAAGACGCGAAAGTAAAAGGCACCCTAAAAGTTGTCGGGGCGGGAAAAAGGAGAAAAGAAAAGGTTCGCGCTTTCTCAATTCAGCTATCTCGGAGCCTGGAACAGGCTATATTGGAGGTGATAGATGAGTGTCGTTACTTTTATGTTGTCTGCTACGCGGGATATCCAGTCGAGCGTTCGAATGTATCTCCCGTTTCAGGCTATGCACGATTCTGTGAGCGGTTTCGTTAAAGAACAAACATGAGACGAGTATTCTGCCATCATCATTCGAATATATAACTACTGTTAATGGTCGGAGCTCAGATTTATAGAAAAGTACAATTCTTATATTAACACCAAAAAATGGCCACGATGCTAGATCAAGCCTCTTCCCTGCGTTTCTTATTCATAAAGAAAATACAAAGGAAATGAATGTTACACCAGTGTTTGGAAATTAGATGAAAAGCTCTTCTTTTTTGCATCCTTGATTTCTCCTTATAAAACAGCTTACTTTTAGAAGTAATATCAAACATCACAATATCAAACTCCTCGAAGTTCGTCTTACAATACTCGGCTGTGCGTTGTAGTTTCCACTTTCTTCTTAGTGTATGATCTTGTGATGCACATTGTGTCTCATGTTTGATAATTATTACGTGACAATTTTCAGTAGAGTGGAGGTGGGGAGAGGAAGCTCAGGGATTACCTTTAGTTCCCTTTCGTCCCAAAACTTCCGGTTCTTTGCAGAATTTAGCCAGAGATCCATCAGGACACCTGTAATGTCATCAAAACACATTCTGATTCAAACTTTTGTTCGCTAACAAGCAAGCTCTATTCACCAACCTCATCACAGGCGTAACTCAACTTTGTTAAACCGTGGAAAATAATTAGAATTTAATATCAGAATGAAGTTTTTTTCAGGGGTAAAGTAAGGCCGAATTCCGTCAATTGAGAAACTGTGTGAATTACACTTTCTTTAGGGGAAAAATTAACGTTTGTGAGGGCAGCAGGTTACAGGTCAAATACTATGCAGCAGAATAGCTTAAGTCTAAACGTCAAAGAAAAGGAAGTTGTAGTATAGCTTTCAGATTAGTCAGTTGGTATTTATTGAACACTACTTTTTAGTGTCTCTTACTCATCGTACCAGACTGAGCTAGTATCAGCTATGAGTTTAATGTTTTGGGGGAAGGGAGGAGTGTGTCACATTAGGCACCAACCAAATTAACTTCACTCTTGCTCATTTATCTAGATGTTGTTTTAAGTCCTTGAAAATAAGCCATCAATATTATGTGCTCACCTGCACATCGCTTCGTTAGTGTCGTTCGTGACAACACATTCCAAATTACCACATAATTTGCCATTTCGATTTTCCTCATAGCATTTATCTAATATGCAAGTTTTGTTCCCAACATATCGGAATCCCCTTCGACACCTATAAAAAAGACAAAAAAACTATAAGGGAGTTGAAACCTTTCATTCTGCACTGAGCATGTCTTGAAGGGTAAGCTCTTTACCCAGCCTCGTTCCCAGGGTCTTCTCCTACTCGTCCTTCCGCTCAGGGAACAAGCAGGATAGGACCCTGGGAACGACGTTGCCGTTTACCTGACCCAATACCTGTACCCTGCGGCAAACACAACCACCTTTGACTCTTGAGACAGCTATATTCTAAATAACGGTACTTCTTATTATCAACAACATAGTTTTTTTTCTCAGTAAAATCATTACTTAATATTTCTTGCGTTAAACAATAATTGGGTGTAATCGGTGCCATAAACAATCAGAGAAGTATTTAAAACATCATAGAAATAACATTTTAGCGTGTTTTCACGATACTGTTTTTACACCAATCGCAATGTAGCCCACACAGAACCCATAGTTACTTAAATTTCAAAGCTGGGGTAGGATCCAAATAACACCAGCTCATAAACTGTTAAGAACAATTGATCGTGTATTCCGACCATCCAGGATGGTAAAAGCCGAACCTTTTAGTACTGGACATTTTTAGCTTCCCGTGACACTGGGATGGGTTGGTTTGGAGTTAAATTGGACTAAGGCTGTTTTCAGTCGAAACAGGACCCAGTTTCTGTGCAACATCAAGAAGCCACGGCAACAACAACAACAACAACAACAGTCCCAACAGCACCGACCTCAAAATAGACCATAACTAGGAATACATAACTATATTAAACTGAAAAATTACTAAGCGCTGGCCCTTTTTTTTTGGTCAGCAAAGTTGTAATGTCATTATCCATAGGAAAATTTAAAATCGCTAGTACGCGATTCAGTTTGAACAGAAACTGATATGGGTTTCTGGTTTGAATCAAGCAGGGTAGAAAGGTGAAAGTGGCTAAAACACTTAGCTGTTCCTTACTGGCAAGCAAACTGTCCGTCTTGAATGATACACGTTCCACCGTGACTACAGCTGAACAAGGCGCACGTAATGTCACACAATTCACCCATGGTTCGGGGTAAGCACCTAAAAAAGGAAGTAACGCAGTGTCTTTCAGTAAAACTACCTTACTGGTGTACCTTTAATTTCGCGTTTTCCGAAGCTCGAATTTAAATGCTCGCGCAATTTTATACCCGTATAGAAAATACATTTAATAATAAAAACATGACCCAGGAACACAGGATATGTATCGATAAATACACAAATTTTGAACTGGCTTTAGTAGTCAAGTTCCAGTTTGTATCTTCGCTTGTGAAATAAAGTTTAAAAGAGGTCTTATAACACTTAAAAGTTAATTTATAAATATGCGTTTTGCTTGTTCTAATTTATCAAGAAATTTTAGCAAGTTCAAGAGTCATTTCTTAAGAGAAAATAAAGTCGCTTGAATCCCGAAAATTAATGCCCTTTTTCATAGTTGCCTCTTTACTTGCGAAAATAAAACCCGCGAAATACTGTTCCGCCAAAATCCAATTAAAAAACTTAACGAATCAGATTACAGAAAGCAAACAATAAATTCCAGCCAAAGTCGTTTGAGCCAAACATGGAAAGACTCGAAACGCAAATCCAAATCCAAATTCCGGGTTTTCCTCGGTGTAAAAACCTGAGAAGTTTTTCTTTTTTTTCTGGTAATTATTTTCCTTGGCCATATTGTGTTGACTCCTCAGTGGCTTCTTTGCATTCATTGTTTTACGTCACTCGTGAGTTTCACAGGTTTTTTCACCGAGGATGAGCCCAAATTCAGGAACCAGAAGAATCGGGAAGAGAGACGATATAGCACTAAAAAACCTGCCTTGAGGTATTAAAGGTCAAATGAACCAAAAATTCCACATTTTTTATTTCAGTTCAATTCTAGTGAAATGTGTTAAAATGAACCAAATAAACATACTATGAAGTTTCAACTCAATTGAAGCAAGTATCTCCGAGTTATTCGCAATTAAAAATTGCTGTTTTTTGGCCCTTATCTTCGTAGAGGGATCGGAAAAATTGTCGGAAAAAACAGCTTGTGACGTCAATGTTGGTCAGGTGAAAAAAGGCGGGAAATTCAAAACAGAGTTTTTCGAGTCGACTTGGCGAGGAAGTGGTTTGTGCGGCCATAAACCTGGAAAGAACAGGCAATTTGTCTTCAAAAGTTGCAAGCTGTGGTTATAACCTTCTTATTATTTAATTTTCTCGAAGAATACATCATAGTAAAACGGACTTAACGACATTTACTAATTTCCTTGAGTTGTACTGGAAATGTGCGTGCGTAAGTACGATTTTTTTCAAGATGCAGTCACAAAATGTGTTGATATAAGGAAGTTCCTGGATATATAATGTCCGGAGCTCCACCGTGGACACAAAAACAAAATATCTTTGTATAATAATCTGCCCAAAGAAATTCAAGTTTGCCCACAATGTGTTTGAAGTCACTGAATTTTGTCGCACTCGAGCTGATATTTTAAAAACCACGCTCGATCGGACACTTCTAGCTTCGCAGATCACTAAATGTAAACAAAATCCTCACTGTAGAAGTTTTGGCGTTGATATGTGGGTAGAAAAAGAGTTAATCTTTATCTAGTAAATCTTCCCCAAGATCGGTTTCAAAGCAAACATAGTTTTCTCACGGCTTAAGGCTCTTACACCTGATGACAAAGAAGAAGTGAATTTTCTGTACGGAAACAACCTACCTAAAGATCTTAAAAGAAAAAGATCAGTTGCAAGCGTCGCAGCCAAGCCATAATTCCGACTACTTAGCTAAATTAGCTACTTTTTTTTAGTAATAACTGGTCCATGCGAGGGTCTTCATTCAAGCAAATTAAACACAGCAAACTGAATCATTAGAAAATACAGAAAACTGCACATAAGGATTTGTTTTGCTCGCTTCAGTCAAATCCAGCTAAAGCGATTGTTTACGGGCAAAGAGTCGATTGTTTTGGAGTCACTGCCGGCAGTTGTCGTTCTCCGCTACTTCACAGCGCGCGAGAGAAAGGAAAATTTGCGTACAGAAAGATAACAAAACTATGTAATTAAAACTGAAAAAACTAAAGGAAAAAAACTCTGACTACTATTACTTGAGCAACAGAAAAATGATCGAAGTAGTGTTTTCTTCTCGAGTAAGCTTGCTGGCCTTCTAAAGTTCCGAGGAAGTTTTAAGCGCTCGAGTTTGTTCACTCGCAAGCGTTAGCATTACGGTTCTTTGACATGAGACAAGGATAAAGCTGGTTCTACAAAGGTAAATAAATCTGGGCATTTAAAAAAAGTAACCGTAACTACTAATAAGAGAATACAAGCGCGTTTTAATTCAGTCCGGCGAAAGAAGGCGAAGCACTGGACAAAAAATCAATTCACAAATCGAATGCATAATCATGAGAAAAATACAAACCTCTTTGGAAATGTTTAAAACGTTTTATTCCTCCTCAGACTGACGGATGATCTGTTTTTACTCTAACATTGGCCGTTCTGAATCCAAAGTAATTTTCAAGTGACGAAAAAACAACAACAAAAAAAGCCATTACAAGGAGCAAACGTTCGCCCCTCGTGTATTTCATTCAGTCTCAGTCACAACTCTCACAGAACTAGACAAACAAACGCAGGCGATAAGAGAAGCGCAGAAGCTTGCGCAGAACGTTTTTCCGCCCTGAAAGACCAACATTGACGTCACGTAGTCTCCAGTCTATCACGCGGCCATTTCAGAAACGTTTTCGTGAAGTTTTCGGAAATGCTCGGATTTTGACCTTTTATCTTTCTATAAAGGCTTGAGAAGAAAAATCTTTACCCAAATCTCACTTAGGATGGTTCTTTTTAGTGTTTGGTGAAGGTAAAGCGACAAGAGAAAATATGTCAATTTTTTGGTTCATTTGACCTTTAACACAAATTGGACAATGCGTAGTGATTTTGCTCGTGATTGCTGGTATTTTGCAACAAATCGTATCCATGCATGGCGTAGTTATAACCGAAACAAGTGGCAACTATCCACGCTTAAGTAGAACGTTCTTCAAATTCACCATCTATCACGATTATCTTACTTATTTAGTTAAGTAAGACATAATGTTTCCAAAGTTTGTACACGGTAATCAAAGACAGCAGACAATGTATAGATTGCACTTGCAAGAAAGCCGTTTTTGATTTGTTGAAGCTCGATATCTGCGACCTAACTGCCTCTCCCTAAACGGGAAGTAGGCCCAGAGAGAGGCAATGACGACTGAGTTGTAGCCTTATTCTGATTTTGGCCTCGTCCCCAGAGGCCAACGACATACCGTGATATTGACCTCGATCCTCAGGTCGAGACCAATCAATAATCAAGATGGACTGTTAGCCATCGAAAATTTGGATTCCACGTTTTTGCCTGTCTGACCCTATTCAGAATTTGAGTTTTGTAAAGTTCAAAGCTAATTCTAATTGGCTGAAACGACTTTTCTTGCATGCAATTCACTTGTTCGCTCCCTGTAATTAGTTGAGACAGGTTTTTTTTTCTCATGTGGTGTCGGGTGTGCAGTCACACTGTGATGCACGTTAGACATACTGCACCTGCAAAATACAGTAAAACCAACTTCATGATACCTGCGCTGAAATGGCAAAACAACCGAACAAATTGCCAGCAAAATCATGACTTAAAAGCGAGTGGGGTAGGGCTAACTTATCTAAAAAGGAATTGAAATAGCACTGTCGCTTACTTGCACTTTGGTTTATAATCTTCTATCACGCAAGTTCCACCGTTCAGACATTTCAGGAAGCATGCTGGTTTCTGTGAAGGCACAATAGCTGTTGGCAAAGTAGTCTCGCAACGTTTTCCTATTAAACCCCTGGGACATCTGGAAATACATGTGATAAAAGCACAAAAAATCAGCATTGACAACCAGGGCACCGTAAGAACTTATTGCTCCTCAGTTCTAAAAGAGATCGACCAATAGTTTACCGATCACAAGGCGCAGCTTGTACACGTAACCTTTTTTCAGTCTGGCGTTAGAATTCTACTGATTTGAAATTATTTTAAGCTTTTTTCCCTTAGCATACTTGCCTTGCCTATGTAAGGCTCCGGTCTTCATAACATTTGTCTTTTCCTCGTCAGTTTCGTAATTTAAAGGCCGAGTCGATGGAGAGATCTTCGTCCTTACGTAGCGTTTAGACACAGCAAACTTAAAATCGCAGGTTTGCAGTAATTAAAGACCATTTTCCCTCGCTTAATCGCCAACTTGCTACAAAAGGTGAAAGAGCTTCAAAATATCCCTATATTATGATAGCTGTGTGCCTAGTATAGGCCCGCCATTGTTATAGGCGCCTTCGTTGAGCGAGAGTGACTGCGTTAAAGCTTTTCAGTGTCTACTTATCAGATGTGGACCACGTACGTCTGTAACTCATTTTCATACGAATAGCTGTGCAATAGGCCTCCTGAAAGCCTCCTGAAAAACGGCTGAAAGCAATATGAAAATGAGCTATTGATAGTAAAATACTCACAGACAAGTGGCCTTATTGTTGACATTAACACAGGTTCCTTTTCCGCACAGTCCAATCCAACAAACCGGAAGTGGCCGAGGAGACTTGGTGGCTACAGTGAGGATAAGGAAAACAAACGTTAGAATACAGCTGCAAAAGCTGGGCACAAAAGCTTCGTGCGTCAACTGTACATAACATTCGACATTCGGAATTTTGCCCCTCCACGTGGGGAATGGAGCCAAGACTTTTTTTGACTATGATAATTACTTCATTTTTTAATGCTCTACTTATTCCTGTGCCCCTGTGTTCAAAATAACGGCCCTCTTTAGTCTCAATCTTCTTCTTCAGGACCTCTAAAGCCTTCTGTTATTGTTGCGGTCTAAGAAAAATACGCGGGGTGAGAGGGTGTGTCCAAGAGTGAAAGCTGACGGCAAATATTTGCCAGAAAAATTTGATGGCAATTTTAAGCAAACACTAACCAAAACAAACATCTTTTAGGAAGAATCTTTCATTAAAGTGCGGAAAATAATACAGATGATAAAAAAGCAGAGAAATTAAAGTTCAGCAAAAGTAACAAGATTCACAACGTCAAAATACTGTGAAGTAACAAAAGTCGCAATTGGAAGGGATTAGGGATTTATCTAACAAGGGAAGCATAGTGACAGATACAAGGAAGACTCTCTACAACGGGATCAAATTTAGGAAATATTGCAAAAGAAAGAAAGATTCCATACGAAACATCAAAGACCTGTTAACCAAAAAACAACATAGCAAGAACAACAAATTTAGCAGGCAAGGAAGGTTGCGAAGTCTTAGCAATCAAAAACATTTCTTTAAGGGAACAAGCAACGCACCATAGACGATTGCTTATCATGCATATTTGGCCATATCGGCAAACGTAACACGTGACCTGTTATGGAGCATAAGGTGGTGGTACAAAAGATACGTACGTGACCGGCAGTTTGCACCAGATTTTCCTGGGTCGCCTGTGGGACATTTACAAACAGGCTTGTTAAGTCCAAGTAGGCACAAATGAGAGCACTTGTTCTTGCCCAAACCACAGTAATTCACTGCATCTGTGGAAATAACTCCTCAGAGTAAATACGAACTTGAATCATATCGGTTTGTTGAAGGTAACTAATTCATTGATCAAATTAATCACAAGGTTCCTCTTTACCTTTAGAAACTTGCTGCTGTTGTTGCTGATACACTACAAGTGCAACCGGACGCCTTAGTCCCTGTACTAAAACTGTCAGCGGACCTTGGCCAAACTTGTTTAACCGGTAAAGCATCCCAGATTGCGCAGTGATGTACAAATAATTTTCGTGTAACGCAACAGCTGTGGGTGCAATACCCCTTTCAAGCTTTATAATGAGCTGTCTGTCACGTCCGTCAGGGCCAACAGAATCCACAATCCCTAGTTTGTAGTCACACCAGTAAAGCCTTCGTGCAGGGGCATCAAGCGCCAGTCCAAGCGGCCATTTTAGTTTTTCCTTTACTAGAACTTTTCCGTTTGTACCGTCCATTAGCGCTGTATGTATGGCTGGCCGGTAACCTAGTCCCGACCAATACATTCGCCTAAAAATGTAGTAGTAGTTATAAAATAATATATTGAAAAAATCAAGTAGCATAAGCAACTTACTGTTCTAAAAATAACTCTTACTCCCTATATTCTCATAAGAAACAATGAATTTGGATTGGAAAAAAAAGTTTCCGGACCATTCTCTCCGACTTTTTTCCTAAACTAGATTTTTCATAAGATTCTGAGTATCAAAATCGATCAACCACAGAACGAAGTCAGCGAAAGCGTCTATATGTGTAATCGTTACAAAAACCTAAATGAGAAATGCCCAGACTTGACACTGACTTTCCTGGAATTAAGACTTTCTCAACTCTTATCGAAATTCGCCCACTTCACGATGATCTAGGTGGGTGTAGAATATCGCCGAACTACACGACAAAATGGTCACCCTAAGGGCGATGCCATTCGCCGCGACGTCAAAATCTCTCGTTCTTTGGGCATGGATCTCGATCTTATAATAACGGGTTTCGACAAACAAGTAAGAGGAATTCTTAATAATTTTTAGTACCGTTATCACTTTGATTGTTATTACTACCTATTGGGAGGATCAAGGACCAAAGCATGAGGCATGTTAACAAGTCCAGACATCAGTGTGTATCTATAGTGACCGTCTTTATTCGCCACTTCAATGACTCGCTTCTTAACATCTGTCCAATAGATGTTGCCACTCAACCAATCAACAGCCAGACCCTGTGCTCGTCCCACTGCCACTTGTAAATCTTGGATTTCCTGTTTGATAGACCGGGGTACTCGATTGTTGTATTTTGCTCTATCTACAAAGTAAACAAGACAAGGTTAAATAAAAGATGTCAAGGAAAGTTACTGATGGTAGTTCATTCATGTCGAGCACTGTAGGACATGCAGTAGGGCATTCGTGCCAAGTACGTGAAGGAGTGGTGAATACTTCGATAAAGTTTTTTGTGCGAACAAGGCCTTGGCCTCGCTGCCGTCACGCAGTACGCGTGAAGCTCATGGGAGCGAGGAGACAGTCGTGAAAAAAACCCTTTCTTTAAATTTCCTTTTATTTTTCATAAAAAGATCATGTAGATTAGCTTTTGCTTTTGTTATAACAATATAATTTATTACATTTTCAACCTCGGATAATGCATTTATAGCATTCTGATTGGTTCACTCAATCTCGGTTATCAGCTCATATACCTTAGTTTGACCTTATATGGAAAACTACAAAATTTCTCTCGGACAAAGCGGCGGAAAAAAGTAGATTTCGCGAGCTTTCTACCGACGAAACAACAGACAAAAAAAAACAGAAAATGCCATACCCGCAGCTTCAAAAAAGCCACAAACTTTGGTTTGAAATTATCCAATGGTACTCTCAGTTTCCTTATAAATTTAAATAAATTATAAGCTTCATTATTCCGTACGTCTAGCTGATTACGTAACATCAACAACAACAACAAAGTTTTCCTTAAAAATTTTCAGAAAAAAAAGTGGCTTGCAAGTCCTTGCAGGAGTAAAGGTTTTCAAAACCATTAGCAGATTTTTTGCGTGTTTAAAGAGCTTTTACACCTCTTAACACTTTAGCAAGTCCATAACGGACCATAACTGGCCTCGAGTGAATCCTACAGCGAGCGGCTTTCCATTGTTGTTGTTACATCAACAACAAATTGATTAATAAAGCTGAGTCTTTCTGCAGCTGCATGGACGATTCAGTGGACGGAGAAAACGAAATTGAAGAACAATCTGGTTGACCTATCCGGCGTCAAATTCCAGAGTCGCGGCAAGGGAAATAATTTAAGCACAACGGCCTTCCCTTTCCGATTTTTCATTATGGAGTTTAAGCCGCGACGTTTTTGAGCGACGCACGTCAACCGGAAATCAGTGTTTTTCTCCTTTGTGTTTGCAAACGGCGCACATGTCATGTGATTTTCCCTTGGTTTACCGGAAGTTACATTAATATGCGGTCGTTTTGTAAGATTTAAAATGAAATTTACTAAAATTCAGTTGTAATAACCAGACGTTTGAGGTTTAAAAAAATTTAATACAACAATTATTCCATTCGCGCTTGTTGTATATGAGATAGTTATAACCAACGAGGCGCGTAGCGCCTCATATCCACCTCATATCCAACGCGCGCTCATGGAATAATTTTTAAATAATTTTGGGTCGTTGTGGGTCGTTTTGGCTGGTTCCTCGTCTTTAGTAACTACGAAATAGGAAACCAAATACCACGACAAACAAAAGATATTACATTTTGTAAGCCAGAATTTAGGGTCATCTCGGAGAAGATCGACTTCGAGTAGCCCCTTATTTTCCACAGGGATAGAAAACCAAGTGAAATAACGAGTGCGCGTGAAAATCGACGCTCGCGAGGAAAGAGGCACACAACTAGCAAGAAAGAGGTAACAGTTAATACAATATCAAGAGAGAAAAAGCACTTAAGACATCTCTGCTGCACTGTATAACCGCGTTCAAATTTGACCTGTTTAAAGCACATCCGCGGGAAAAAAGGAAACTTTCCTCTTTTTTCCCGGCATAAGAACCCCCGGAGGGTACTTCCTCATAAGAGGCTAATGGGGATGTGCCGCTGGATGGGGTTGCATTTTTACGACTGGAGTGACTATAATGGGGTCGCATTTTCAATAGAGTTATTAGAATGGGGTCGCGTATCTTCTGATTTTTGGGGTAAGACAGTTCTTCATATTTACGGTTAGCAAACATACCAGAATGTTTGTAGTGTAAAGTAAAGTGTTCTTCATTCAATCTAAAAAATGGGTCAATTCATTTTTGGATGACCTACATAAAGGATACATAAGTAGAAAGTGACTAAGTTGGGATCGCGAAAATCAAATATTTGCCCAACAGTGACTAAGATGGGGTCTATAATTGGCCACAGAATAGACAATAATGGCATAAGGACAGCCCAGCGGCACATAACCAGCAAAAATTGACCCAAGTAACCTTCTCCCCCCTCCTCCCTCCCCGGGATAAGAACAGGCAAAGACGAGGGATGTCCAGGAAAAAAAATGTGGGTGTATAACTCAGAAATATCGATTGCAATCGACCCCGGTTAAGCTGTCACGCAGTTCCCACTCCTCATCTTACCTGGCATTTTCGCTCTTTTAATGGTACCCTCCCTTAAGTCAGTCCAGTAGACCAGGTTTTCCTCCCACCACACGGTCAGTGCTCCTAAAGAACCCTGATCGTAAGCCATGGTGTTGTACGGTCCAGTGACATTACTGTCCAATCCCAGATGCCTGATGTCACCTCCGCTCGGGAAAAGAAGAGATGGAGGCTTACCTAAGAAATTTAAGTAATTATTTCAACTTGTTTATCACAATTTTATAACCCACGGTGTGGATTCAGGAGTTCAAACGTAAACGTCTTCAACAACAACCTTCTAGCATTCCTTAGTTTGTCACTGTTAGTCATGCTACGTTTCGTATTTCTTGTTTCAAGTCGAGCTTGTACTTGGAAAAATCTATGGATCTGACACAATACATCAATCCATGTATTTTCTGGAAAACTGAGTAAACAAAAGCTTTACTTAATCAAGAGAAAAACTTCCAAAGAAAACATTGAATTGCAAACAAAACTTTTGATGGTAGTTAACGAGGTGTTTAGGGTACTTTAAACGCGAGAATGCTGCCTTCAATCGTTATCTTCTTGTTGGACACACTTCTCAGACGAATGTAACCGATTGAAGATAGCATTCTGGCGTTTAAAGTTCCCCAAAAACCTCGTTAACCCTACCATCAAAAGTTTCGTTGACTCAAAGACTTGTGAGCAGCGACCTTTATCACCAGCTAAAGACACGGATGACACGGTTCAAGTGGTTTTACCTTTTAAAGACCAAATCTCAGCAGATATTGTGAACGAACAACTCAAGGATCTGAGCCTAAAAGTAAACACCACCACCCAGCCTGTGTTTGCCAGCCGAAAAATTGAACAACTGAATGCCACCGATCGTAAATGAACAGTGTGTAGTTTAAAACTTCTAATGTGACCTGTGTGATGCAGGCTATGTAGATTACACACGCGCACATTTACACAATCGTGTAAAAGGACATAAACAACAGTCCTCCGCCATTGCAGAACATTACAAGAACGTGCAAGGGACGATCCCTCAGGACCTGCTGAAACGTTTCGAAGTGCTTAAGAAATGCAGAAACAAATTTGACTGTTTAGTGTACGAAATGCTTTTCATAAGAACCTTAAAGACAAATCTAAACGTACAATCAGACTCTATTCGTGCCAAAGTATTTTCATAATCTTCGCACCCTGTTATGTTAATTTTTGCGCCACATCGCTTTGAATGCTGTAATTTGCACGATCAAAAACATTTTTCCTTGATAATGGAGTCATCAATACTCCGAAACGTCGGATTTTATCGTTCGTTTTTATCGTTTATGTCTTAAGAAATCTCTTTTAATACGAATTACAAAGCTAAGCAACAAAATTTAAGTTGAAGTTTTGTACTTTACCTTAATAACCTGTATATCACAAAATGGTAACATAAGTATTGTTAATGAGAAACCTGTTCTATAATATAAAGAGAAACAATGAAGTGAAGATCGTGTTCTATATTAGTGACGAAATCAACCCACCTTTAGCCTTGCAGTGTTTCCCGTCTACACCAGCTTTAAGGTAACCCTGGTTACACTCACACTTGTAGCTACCACGCGTGTTAACACAACCCTGACTGCATGAACCAAATATCTTACACTCATCTATGTCCATACATTTCCGTGTGTCCGTGGCCATTTGAAAACCATGCCAGCAGGTACATAATACCGTTCCGTCTATTATGGTACAGTTCTGCTCACATCCGCCGTTATTAACACTGCAGGACGTGTTTCTTGCAGCTTGGAGAAAAAACAAACCAACAAAAAAGCAGAAAGTTTTGAGATGGACGTTCACTCTACTATGGCCACGATGCAGGTCTACTTAAAATCACCATCCTTGACATCAAACACGTGTGTTTTGTTTGTGCAAAAGAAACCGAGAGAGCTAACCAATCAAAAAATACAAAGGTGATTCAAAGGAGAATGTGTGAATAGATTATACATACAAGCCACAATCAATCCGAATCTGGTTTGCTTGTAAGAGTCTGATCTAACCTTCAACTGAATAAACATATCCGACGAGATCTGTAATCCCCCAAACCGCACCACATGATGCAAATATGAGTAGTAAATCCCCAACTGAATCTATTCCAATAGACGCCTCGAGTCAAATACAAATTTAAAAAAATATACTGGCTTCGATCACTGGTAGAATACCAGTGATCGAAGGATCAAGGATCAAGGAACTATTCGAAATATAAACTCACACGGTCTACCCTGTGTGAGAGCTCCGCTTTGAACTATATGAACCCTAAAGCTTCATTGACAACCACAATTAGAGTTAGTTTATACACACCATACTTACCACAGGATTTTTCATCTGATGCATCGCCGCAGTCATCTTTACTGTCACAAACAAAAGCGTTTGAGATGCACTTCCTGTTAATGCATTTGAACTGAGTGGAGTTGCAACCAGTAGTAACTACTGTGCAGGTCAATTCATCTGAGCCATCACCGCAGTCATCTACGCCATCACATTGGTGCCACTTGGGAATGCAAACATTGTTTGAACAACGAAATTGCGTGTGAAGACAACTGTGGGCCCCTATACACAGAGGTAAGTCTGAGTAACTGAAAATTATGATCTAACCATTCTTTACAGAAGGCAGCTTATGTGCAGCAGCAAAACGTAATTTTTTTTCCTTTCTTTTTTTCCTGTGACTATAAAGGTTATTTCTTCCTTACATACGCATTTAAACCTCTCAGCCCGTATACCAAGGCTTGAGTGGAATACCGACAACTTTATACAAATCACTGTGTCTCGAGCAGTTGGTGGCTTTGCATTGCGCTAACGGTCTAAACTCGCCACGAAGACGATTTTCTATAAAGTATAGTTGTCCTAAAGACCTTGGCTAGGCTCCGAGACCAAACAGGAGGTCTAATCAGTTTCGTAGAGAAGAAAGTCATTGATAGGCACGTATCTGTCCAACACAGTGACCACTAAGATCAGCAGTATTTTTGAATTTCCCAAGTATGTACCTTGCCAAGCAAACTATGTAGGTTCGTCAAACGGACCATGTACATTGCTAACCTTCCATAAGATAGTAACGAAAAAGTACTCTACTGATCAACACTGACTATTTTATTTACAACTTGGTCTTTTTTTGTAAAACGATACTCACCACAGAGTTTTGCTGCTTCGTCACTTCCATCTCCACAGTCATCCTCTCCATCACATACCCAGGCCTTATGGACACACATTGTGTTGTTACAGGGAAAGGTCTTTGGAGGACAATAACGCCGATAAGGTGACCTAGTAGGACAACCTGAAGGAACACAAATAATAGAATTTGACAACAAGTAATACCCATTGAATGACTGAAGTATGAGCTACAATTCAATCAGCTTCTTTCGATATTTTAAAGTTCAGCTTCAACCTCGCTATCAAGTGGAATTTAAAAGTATCAAGACGAGTCTATAAACGTTTAAGTACAATCCACCATGAAAATTTCAATTCATCATTTTCTCACGGTCTGACTTGTTCATAGCCTGTGTACAGACGTCCCCTCTCCTTCAGAAAAACTCAGGAGAAGAATCTGAGGGAGGGGGGACGTCTGTACACAGACTAACTTATCCACAATCTGATCGTAAACGAGTAGGTAAAACGTAGAAGACTACGCGGACAACAAAAAGAGGGAAGTTTAAATTTTCAGTTTGAAGTCTCCAAAGTGGCACCACAAAAGATTACTTGGGTGTCAGAAAATGGTAAAAGTGAATCGAAACAATACAGCCAACCTTGTTCATCTGAAGCATCTTGACAATCTATATTTCCATCACAATTCCATTCTTTCGGGATACAGTCACCGTTAGTACAGCGGAACTGTTCTAATCTACAAGTTAACTTATCACAGTCCTGCTCGTCAGTTAAATCACCACAGTCATTGTTTCCATCACAAACCCAATCACTGCTGATACAACGACCACTTCCACACCTGAAAGATAAGAGTGACAGAGGTCAAAATTCAAGAAAACTCACAAATTTCGCTTTGTATAGAACCTTGATACAATTAAGTCGATTAGTCACTTAAAAAGATTTTGACCACCGCCATTAAATTCGTTATTGGCTACAAGTTTTACAATGGGCTAAAATTTTGAAAGAGGTTTAATATGGTCAAAAATAGCCTGGATTTCCGATCTTTTTCAAAAAAAAAACGCGATTCAATTATTCAACCGAACACATCCATTTAATTGGTTTATTTCATTGTTTACAAGTATTGATCTTTGTGAGTTTAACTTCTCTTCTGTATGCTTGTATGTTCCAGGCCGCGCTCTTAATCTTGGTATTAACCAGCACCGTACCCATGGCTGTTTTGTATCGGCGTAAGGCTGTTCACTTAACAAACTAGTTAATAGGGACCACCAAGAGTGAGTACGAATACGAGTTTTCAAATGAATCTTATGTGCTCTACATAATAACTAGAGAGAACTACTCCGTACTAATCTCATCCCGGACGTCTTTTAATGTCTCGGTCAGAAACTGGTGGCATAACCTCAAACTGGCTTTAAATTTCAAAATCTTAAGGACAGTAATATACCAGACACAAAATAAGGCATTTCATTTAAAATGCAATCAATGATAACTGACATAAGCGACCAAGCGACTGAAGAAATCAAAGTTATCGTAGTCCTCTGTTTTCTCTTTATGAATTATTAATGAGTCCGAGAAGGAGTGATAGGAAAACTATTGTAATGTGGATTTTGGGGATCATTTTACGTTTCTGTAAAACTGCCCACCTACCCCTCCCCTAAGCAAACCTGCATTTTGCCCTAAGTAAGAACTAAGTGTTACTGTTGATTTAGGGGAGGGGTAGGTGGGCAGTTTCACAGAAACGTAAAATGATCCGATTTTTGGAGGGTTGGATTACATGTATGCGACAAGAGATACAACTGAAAGAAGTTATTACAGTAGCTCCTCATGTCACCTGAATTCTGTACTGGTGCAATTAAGAGTCAAGCAATCTGCTTCATCTGAGCCATCATTACAATTATCTTCAGAGTCACATCTCCAGTCTTGTGGGATGCAGCGTTTATTCTGACATTGAAACATGCCAGAACCGCACTGGTGTTCTACAAACCAACAAAAATCTTCAATTTGCCTATTTTCTACGAACTGTTAAGCCTGCCAGGCAAGCCCAAGAAAATATGGGGCGCGCAAGGGGGGATTTTTTCTTGCGCCTGCTACATAAGTTGAGAATTCAAGTTGTTAATGATTAATGATCATGATTATCATCTTCGATGACCTAGCTCAAAAGATGAGGCTTTAAGCGTTCTAAATAAACCCCGATCCGCTTGTCTACTAGGTAACGTTGTGTACAGCAAGTGACAGTGCTCCCCATCTCAGTATAATGCTAACGTACGAATCGCAAGAATACGTTAGCTCTTAACTGGCAACGGCTCGAAAGTATCTATACCTGCACCTGGATCAAAAACGATGATTTGACTGCAGGCGGTACAGAATACCAAGTCCAAACTGATATTAAAACAAAAACTAACATGGAGTAATGGGTCCAGTCAATAATACATCAAGCTCCCGTCTAATAGCATTGGAACCCCTTGTATCCAAATGATGACATCCTGAACAGTGGTTCGCTTATTAATGCTCCTAATGGCCAGTTACTTGAAAAAAGAAATTACGAACCTTTGCAAACCTCAGGATCCTCGTCTGACCTATCATCACAATCACCATCTCCGTCGCAGGTCCAACGCTTAGGAATGCACTTGCGTGACGCGTTACACTGAAAACGCGTGACAGGGTCACAGGTTTGACTGTGACATACACTAGGTGACTCATCGCTTTCATCTCCGCAATCGTTACCTCCGTCACACAGCCACTGGCGTGATATACAGCGACCGTTTGGACACGTGTGTTGATCTCTAGAACATGTAGCGGGCTTGCAGTGAAGTTCATCTGAGTTGTCAGCACAGTCGTTCTTTCCATCACACACTTGTGATAGAAACACGCATCTCTTGTTTGCGCACCTGAACTGAAAAGGAGCGCACTGTCGTGATGCGCATAACGTTTCGTCAGCACCGTTGGCGCAATCCTTGTGACCGTTGCAGACTTGTATGATTGACACGCACGTCGTGTTATCACACTGAAACATTCCTGAAAGTGTGATATGAAATAATACAAAAACTATGTTAGATATCGGTTGTTTATTTTGTACGCCGATCACACCCTGGACACAAAAGCTCTTAAGTTAAAGATCGCATGAAGTTCTTCTGTTGACAGATGTTAGATTATATTTAAATGAGACGAGTTCTCGACGAAATAACAGTTTGGAGTTTTTAAAATTTTACTATGCGTGATAACCGTGTTTTATATCACGGCGCTAATTAACTGGGCGATAACGTCAATGCTTAAATATAGTCTTAAATAACAAAACTGGACCACATTTTGTGGAATTCAATAGACGCGAAATACGTTTTAGCTTTGTTAGCCAATTGACGGTTCAATACTTACCCGGTTGGCAATGTCTTGGTGAACAAGAAGAGGGTTCATCAGAGCCATCTCCACAATCATTATCGCCATCACAGCGCCACACGCGAGGAATGCAAAGATTATTTGCACAAAGGAATTCGCTGTTAGTACAGTTGTCCAGGCAGGTTTTACCGTCATTTGCCAGATGATAGTTGTCTGGACAAGCGCAGCGGTACCCCCCTTGCGGCTTCAGCAAACATAGCTTAGAGCAGGAGGAGTTGGCACAAGGCGAAGGGAGGGGAGGCTGACGGAATGGATGTACTACCTTAAACAAAAAAGAAATAGTTAATCAAGAAGTACATGTAACAACTTCTAATCATAAAAGTAAATTGTTTCTTGGTAAACAGCAGTAACCCTGTTCGTGATCTGCATTAACCACAAAGAAGGAATAGCAGTAATGGCAAGATACTAGATGAAAATAAAAATAGTGGAGATTGCGATTTGGGGAAGAAAAGTGGTCTCTTGGTGATTACTGTTTTCAAAGGGCCTAGTCTCCGCTACTTCAGTTTATCCTTATAAAAGAAACTTCTTTTCAAGTCGTTGTAATTGGTATTAATGCGGTGGGATGGTAGGCATGCAAGTTTTGTAGCAGTACCTTAAAGTTTTAAACAGCTCCCAGCCAATTTGTAAAGGGCTTGGTCCACGAAAGTCTAGTTATAGCTAGGTGTTCCCAAAGAATTCTACCAATGTGCAAATGGGCCATATTGGGATTGAAATCGACATTTTGTCAAGAACCAGCTTATTCTAGGAAAAAAAACTAGCCAGAACTTTGAAAAGGTTACTGCGCTAAACATCCATATTTATTGTTCCACAACTATCTCCAGAGTAGCCGTTATAACAACTTAGACTGTAAACAATACTTTTTTTCTCTTCTCCTTCACCTTCTTTGCTCTTCCTTCTCATATTTCCTTTGCCAGTGCAAGTAATATTCAGGCACGTTCGACCTAAATAACTCGAGTTTCAGCTTGACAGGGGTCAAATGGCCCACGGAATTTTACAGTGGGCACCTTTCGGCTTTAAATTACCTGCAAGCCCATGAGTCTATGCGACGAATTCAGCAACACAGAATGTTGCAATCCTGTGAGTCTATGCGCGCGGTGGATAGCCATGGTCAACCAGTCTGTCCAGTAAACAAAGTCTTCAAATACGCTGATAGAAAACGGATGTGGTGCGTACAACTTTGTCAGCTGGATACGGTTCTGTCCATCCCGATCACATGATTCAATGGTATCGAGCTTGGCATCCACCCAGAATAACCGTTTGGTAATTTGACAGAGGGTCAATCCGTTAGGCCAGCCTACGGACTTGCTTGTTATAAACCAGTGTCTGCCCGAGCCATCTAAACCACACTTTCCAATGTGAGGTCTACTGCCCCAGTCACTGTAATAAAAGAAACCTGAAAGAAAAATTAACCTTTAGGAGCGCGGATTAGCTCAGTCGGTTAGTGCGCAGCCTTCTGTGTGGGAGGTTTCGAGTTTGATTCCCAAGTGTGACCCACCATCCTTGTTTCGCCTTTTTTCCTTTCCGCGTAGTTAACTCTAAATACCCGTACCTCGGAGCACTGATGGAGAGGGAGAGGGGGGTAATATGTGCCCACCGTCGGCGTCGGCGTCAGGTTTTTCAGTCTCATGCATGCTATTCAGTCCCTATCTGATATTGCCAAATGCCACGAAACGTATTACTTGGAAAAGGCAAATGTGCTGATGTTAATGTCAACCCTTTCACACCCGACAGTAGCCAATGAAAAAATTGACAACAAAATTCAAATAGGCCATTTCCGAGTTCAAAAAACTCACCTCCAAAACAAGGCAAAGTGCAGAAACCTTCCGCTTCGCACTTAGCCTCGCTTTGAAACAGAGGCTAGGAGAAACTCGGAAATGGAATATTTCTGATGGTAAAATCCTAAGAAATAACTAGTCCTATGCAAACAATCTACCAAAGAAGTTTTATTTGAATGATTACACCATAGAATTTCATCCACAGATTTACGCCTGAGATTGACAATGGTAATCAATGGTAAAAATCACTGGGTACGAATAAAGTTGTCGTTGCTTTTCATGCTTCAGTAATTTTCATGTTTTTGAGATACTTACCATCACTTGGATCAACTATCACTGCTCTGGGCTCCTGTAGGCCATCAGATATCAATGACTTCATGTAACGTCCATCAAGCGTCGAAACAAAGATCTTGTCTTGAATTCTGTCCGCAAGGTATAGATTTCGTCCAACCCAGTCCACAGCTAAACCTTCCACAATGGACAAACCAGCTTCCCGGACAACCTCCACGCCAGTACCGTTTAAAAATGCACGCATAACACGCGAAGGCCTTAGGCCTTCAGTCCAATACAAACGCTGTTCTGACCAATCAAAATCAATAGCAACTGAGTTTTGAATTTTTCGTAAGATCGAACCCTCCCGCGAACCGTCTATGGCGAGTTTACGAACCTCGTACCGCAATAAAAACGCCAGAAAAGGTTGTATGGTGGAGTTGATTGGTTTACAAGTGTGTACGTCACCCGGTTGGAGTTTGTAGCCTTCAGCACAAGTACACTTGTAATGACCTTTGAGGTTAACACAGTAATGGTTACACTTATTAAGCTCGTACTGTTCACACTCGTTAATATCCTCACACGACGCTCCGTCGCTTAGAAGCTTGAAACCATGACGACAAGAACAAGTGTAACCGGTGCGAGTACTGTTGCACAACTGTGAACACTGCAAAAAAAAAAAAACAGCATACATTTGCATCAATAAAAATGTCTCGCAACAAACATTAAGGAACTTTTCTTTCGAAAGCTTCGCATTTCAGTAGACCGGCTCTGTTAGTCGTCCATCTCAAATAAATACACCTCCTTCGCCTTAAACGACCGTTGCTACTGTAGAAAACGTGATATTCTTAAGAGATCAGCCTATTTGAACCGTGGTCTTGTTAAAGATACAATGTAAAGCATTCATACCAACATGAATATGTCCAGAAAATACTCACTCGAGTAACATCATATCATAGCAGAAAAAACTAAGCGAACAAACCCCTTTTGTTAAAAATACCTTGTTTCGATCAGGTCGACTACAGGCATTCCTTTTACAACCCAGTTCATCAGTTCCGTTGACGCAATCTTCGTTTCCATTGCAGACTAGGGTTGAATTCAGGCATTTCCCATTACCGCAATTAAAATACCCCCGGGGGCACGAGGGGGTCGGGGTTCTGCTGCACAATACCGGGTCTTCATCTGAGCCGTCTGAGCAGTCCCTAAAAGCGTCACATACATAGCTTCTGGGCACACAGTAACCATTTGTACAAGTAAACTGATTTTCACTGCAAGTATGGTTAAAGCAGCTGGATTCATCTGAACTGTCACCGCAATCGTTTTCGCCGTCACATAACCAGGCCTTCTGCACACACAGACCATTAGCACATCTAGCAAAGAATAAATAAGTTTAGTAAGTCTTTAGCACCAGAATGGACGCTATCCAAATAAAAAAAATTGGTTTGAAGAACTGAGTTGATCGCGAAAATAATACACATGCCCGAAAATAATTCAAGAACTGACGTTCTGAGTAGCACGTTTGCCGCAAAGAATTAAAGAATTGAGGTTTGAGTGATTTATACAGTGTATATCCGGGTGTAAGGCAACGCTGCTGGTGGATGCATCGCGAATGAGAGAAATTCAGTGGGACAGAAAAGGTATGCACATAAACAAGTTGGTCCGCTAATAGTGAGCTCAGAGGCACCTTGTTTTGGTAGTGGACAATGCGGTATTTAACTACTAAATATTTCGTTCACATTATATATAATTTCAACATCTCCCCAAATCCAGAATCCAAATTCTGTTTCCCCCATATTTATTGATTAAAAACATTTGAACCAGTTATTGAACCAATTTATTACTTTTTGGCTAGATCTGGGAGAAAAAGGGCACAAATAAGCAAAACACAAGGCAGAAATTTTGTACTATTTAACGACGACTTGACCTCAGGAAGTCTTTCCTTGACATAAGAAACCCAAACAGAAAATGTTTGGAGATTTGTCAAGAAAACAAAGTGAAAGGATAGGCTAAAAGAGTGACACCAGCTTACCTGAACTGCATTGATTTACAGGTTCTTAATACACAGCCCTCTCTTGGGTGTTCATCAGAAGCATCACCGCAGTCATTATAACCATCACATACAGAAGACATCAAGACGCATCTTGAAGTGTTAAGGCATTTAAACTCCGTAGGATCACATGTGCGTTCATTACAATGCAAGTCAGCTGCCGCTTCATCAGACCCATCTCCGCAGTCATCATCACCATCACATACAAACTTTCTGGAGATACAGCGACCTGAATGCAATAATAACACATCAAAGCTGTTTTAAATATATTTATTTAGAAATCTGCGGCACTGATGAATAGAACCATTGGTCAGGCCGCTGTCCCTGACGTCACGTTGTCCAAATGATAAATTTGCCTTTAGTTTTCTTGCATGGAAATAAAAAAGCCTATATGCAAGCAACACTGGAGCAACAAAACGCCGCTAATTGAACATTAGTCTCTTTGAAATGAGTGCACGACAATCACCAAGGGACAACCGTCGATAGGCGAGGCAAAAGATTGTCTAGGTTGGAGGTAACGGCTAAGTTAAATCCATGGAAAGTAGCAATTAACTTGGTCCTTGAGAGAGAAAGCTTTGGCGTGCAGTAGACATGCCGCATGTCTGAAACCAAGAAGCGTTTGAAGTGATAAAGGAACCAATGATTGCATAGAAGCCGGTAAGATGCTAACACCAACTGAAAAAGTTAAAGACATTCACAAGAGCCAAGAGGCAAGTATTCTATTAGATTTGCCCTGGGTAATAATAACAGTTCATCTGGCTTGTTAGGCTATCGGACTCTTGCTAAACACGTTTTGTGGATGATTCAACTGAAAACAAATCAATCAATGAACATTCACGTACAAAGTATTTAGCGTGAAGCAGACAATGTAATTCACAACGGGACATAAAAATAGGAAAATAGGAAACTCAGGATTCAGAAAGTAGGAGAAGAAAAGGAAAATCAATGGTACTTTCGTCGACAAAGATTGCCTCCCTGCACCCCATCAGGGCTATAATAAAGGCTTCGAGTCCTCAGCTTCTACGTTCGCTGGATTTAGATCAACTTTGAAGGTTAGAAGGAGCGAAAATGATAAGTAACGTTTAGTTTATTGGCTCAGTTATGCTGTAATCAGAATGATATGCTTGACTACAGGTCGAGCGTGGTTCTATAATCAAAGGTGATCCTAATATGCAAATTCCCTTCAAGTTGGCGGCAAATCTTTGAAAGGCTTCAAAGAGTGAAAGTTCTTAGGATAGAAATTTCTTACGATTGCGTGGTCATTGAAGGATACCGAACTGGGATTAAAAAGTCCTATGGAAAGCTTTCCTTCCATTAATCTGCAATAGGTAGCTCGTTGAGAACACGCTTGTTTGAGTCAAAAGACAGCATAGTTTTAAGTATGGAACCAGGCCTTCCGCGGTGTACGCAAAATGACACTGATCTATTTGGTACCAGATTGTAAGTGTGTCATGGTTATGTTCTAAGAACGTAACACCCTGCTTAGCTATGACTGCAAAACCGGTTTCGCAACCAAAATAATAGATCCTTCGTCAGTTGCTTACGTATAGCTGTTAACAACAGCCCACCAAGAGAGCTAGTGCCGTAAACTAAACTTGAGTCTGTTCTTTTCATGTAGCATCCAGAATCCAGCTAGTGATTGGTTTTTACACAAGAACCTGAATGGATGATTTATCTGACCTGTGTTGTGAGAGGGCAACTTGATCCTGTTTTCAGTTTCAAATATGAACATAACACCGAGCAAGGCTTCACAATAAAATATAACATGTACAGGTACTGAAATGCAGTTTAAGAGGGCTATGCACAACATTATTCAATAGTCATGAGAACTATAACACGACATACAATACATGTAGGTGCACTGGAAAATTATATACAAAAAGTAACAATATAACAAAGTGGTTAACAGAACTCCAATAGGCGATAGAGGTCTGGAAAAAACAAATGTAACTATTATTTTTGCTAATATCAGAACATAAAAAAGTCAATACTACTTGCTTTATGATAAATCTTACTCTAGAACACATACATCTATAATTCCATTTTCAATTTTGTTACAAATTTTGGCCTCACCAGCTAAAAAATAGGAAAAATAGGAGGTTTTAGTTTTAAAAATGGAGAAAACAGGAATAGGCTCAAAAAATAGGAAAAAATATAGGAACTGCACATCCTGCCACTTGCGCCCGGCTGTTCGGACGTTGGATGGCGCTATCCATTGGATAAATCACTGTCCAGTGGATAACTATTAGCGAAAATAATCGCGTTATCCATTTGACAGTGATTTATCCAATGGATAGCGTTATCCACCTTAATTTGAACAACTGGAGCCTGTTGGTGGGACGCGTGGTTAGAGAAGGGACTATTTCCATGCAACGGTGGCAAGTCCAGAAAAAAAATCACTTACTATTGCGACAAGTGAACTGGTTACCAAGACAAGTCTGATTGTGATATGCACAGAGATGTTCATCACTGCTGTCTCCACAGTCATCTTTACCATCGCAGCGCCAGTGCATGGAGATACAATACCCTGAAGCACAACGAAAGCTACCAGGGCTGCAGGTTCTATTGCACACAGCTTCACTTTCATCCCACTTGTTAGAACAATCATAATCTCCATCACACAGCCACTCGGAGTTAATACACTTGTTACTGTCTCCGCACTTTGCTTTCCCTGGAGGGCATGTCACAGAGGGGCAGTCGTTTTCATCAGAAAAATCCCCACAGTCATTATCGCCGTCACATTTCCACTCGATGTCGATACAGTGGCCATTAGCGCAAGTGAATCTATGTGTCGCACATGTCTATGACGAAAATGAGAAACTGGTTAATGTGTGCCACGCTTTACACTTTGCTTCCTAATTGCCATGAAAAACAATCACCCGAGCTGAGCGACGATCTAGTCATTTATAAAGCAAAGGCAATACCCTGTACATCAGTTTATATTTTACATTAAATATCGGTTATTTTACCTTCTGGGGACAGCCTTGTTCGTCGCTGCCATCAGTACAGTCACGTTCAAAGTCACATTTCCAGCTTGAACGAATACATTGACCACTTGTGCACCTAAACTTATTTCTTCGGCATTGCCTTTGTGCTGCAAATCAGAAAAAGAAATCATAAAAAAGATACAGTGCGACTATTGTAATCGGGCTCACCTAGACAAAGTTGACCAATCGGAATACAGGAGAATAACAATAAATTCCAAGAAAGCTGGTTGTGGGCCAATCAGCAGCTCGGACGAAAAAAAAAATATAAAATCGGGCGTTAGATGCCAGAAAAGTAAATTTCCCACTGCTTAATTGAATATGCGTGAACAGATCAGAAAATGTTTGACTAGTACTGGACTGCGAACGGCGAATTACTCTTTTTCCCTTAATTTCTGTCCACTGATCAGGAGCACACATTTTTGAAAAAACTTGAAGGTCTTTGTTAATAATGGCTCGAAGCAGAAAATTTAGATATTGATAGCAGAGGTCTCAAAGGAAGCAAAATTTTTCATTAGACAAAATTTTTCTATCAAAAACTTTACATATAACGCCCAGGAGACATATTTGCTTGACAAAAGCTTGTATTTTGTCAATTGCTAGCAATTTCTTTGCTAACATTTTCAATCCATTTGTTTATTTCGTTTCGTGGTTATTATGATCGACAATCAACTTTCATGGAATGTACTGTTATTCTCCTGTAATCGGATTGGTCCACTTTGTCACTGAGAACGCTTTTACCTAACTTGCTCAAGGGGGACCAGACCCAAATGAGCGTCATTCCGCTCTCAAACAAGCCACAAGCCAGTAGAGAAAAACGCCAACCACCCCCCACCCAAATGTACAGTTTACAAGAAAACTTCAATGAAATTCCTCGCTCTACTACCCATCTCCATTTTCTTCAAAATGATTTCACGATCCTCAGGGGTTTGCAGGAAACGTCACCACCGAAATCAAGCCTAGCGAACGCCCAGAAAAAATCATATAAAAAGCGAGGAGAAAAAGTAGCGGGGAGGAGAGTCAGCAAAAGATTAATGTCTAGGGGAAAGCGTCGACTAAAAACCCAAAAACTCTCAAAATCTTGCCTTCCTCTATGGCTTTGGAAGAAATTCATTATTCCCGCCCTCATGTTAAGCTTCAACCAATAAAGTTAATTCCCTGTGGTGATTGTTTGGCTCGACTTCTTTCTATAGAATCATCCAACACAGCTGATAACTCAACTTACCACAAAGTGCAGATGACTCATCAGAGTTGTCGCCACAATCATTCTCTTTATCACACACTTGCATGTCCAACACACAATTGCCATTTAAGCACGCAAACTGCCGCCTTTGACATACCGCTGATTTATTAACACACAGGAATCCATCCTTCAGGACCAGACCTGACGGACAAGTACACACTCTCTTCTGCGCATGAACGTCGCAGAAATGAGAGCAGCCTCCACCGTTTAAACAAGGACTTACAGTGCCTGGGGAGAAAATGCCGTGAGGTGGATCGATTCAATAAAAGTTAAACATCCTTCAAAAGGACACCAAGGAGAGAAAAATGATTGTCCGTATTAGAGGAGTGATTGTATTAAAGAAAAGTCTGTATTATAGGTACTTCAAAGGCTGGTATTCTGGGATGAAGAGAAGGTCCGGAGCGGTGTCCGTGTTATGAAGGTATACGCAAGAAGAGGTTCGAATGAGCGCCGGCTCAATTTCAAAGAGATTAACACGGTTACTATGGGTCTTACAGGTTATTTCCACAATTCTAACTTGCCAAGTGGTCTAAAGCAAACAGTACACTACCAGATGTGTTTATATAGGCAGCTTAATTCGAGTGGGTAAATGTTCTCTATACTTAAATATATGCTTTACTGCTCACAGAAAACAATGGGCAGATATCAGGGTCGAACAAACTTATAAAACCTCAGAATGCATGAAGCTTCGTTGAAACAACCGACCCCCAATGAGCATTCTCAATCATACCACGTGACCTTTCGAAGAGACATCTAAGAAAAAGCAGTCCATCGTTTAAATGATATGGACAGACAAGAACACGATAAAAAAATATAGGAACGACTTGACGTTTGGAGCGAATTTTTAAGCTTAAGCGTTCTTAGTTCTTAAGTAAGTTCTTCAGCTTCTTTAAAATGTTTTTACGCGTGATTTAAGGGGGCAGTCCGGTTAAAAGCATTATTTTTCGTTGATTTCCATCCTTCTTTTCAATCAAAAAATGACTCCATTAAGTTAGTGTCCTTAATCCAATAATATTTGGACATTTTGCATGATTTTTCGAATGTTTTTGATGTATAAAAGTTAAATTGGGGGGGAGAGATGTTTAAAATGTTGGGAAAATGCGAAAATATTGGATTTGGGGGTCGTTAAATATTAAAATATGAAGTGAATAATTAGTAGACAATTACCAGATAGTCCACCACCACAACAAGGTGCCTCTGATCCCATTAGCGGACTAACTGGTTTGGGAGTATAGCTATTCTACCCTCACTTATTTCCTTCCAAATGAACATCATTTTCTCCAAAAAAAATGACCAGAATGCCCCCTTAAAATGGTAGCACATGCATGGGTAGTATCATAAACGAAGGCCTCCAAAATGAAGATCGAAGACCTGAGACCCATTCGCACGAAAACAAATACCCCAAAACACGAAAACGTTTAGGGGTCTGAGCACTTAGGGCCTAGGCCAAGCGTCGAGCTTTTCATGAGACGAACCAAACTCTAATTTGGGTCGCCATAAATTAAGTTAAGATCGTCTGTTGGGTCAGACGTCGAACTTAGGATGCGTCGAACCAACCAACTTAATCACATCAGTAAAAAATTTTCTCCCGAACGAGGCTAAATATTCATTGTAATACAAATTTTTAATTTATTAGTTAGTAGTTCGTAGCATGTGAAGATAGACGTTTGGCCCGGAGACGATTTTCAGATGTTGGACGATCCAAACTCATTCAGACGAACTTAACTGAGCCAGACGTCGAACTTTCCCTGAACTTAATTCACAAAGTTTGGTTCCTCTCATAACAGTTCGACGTTTGGCCTAGGCCTTAGGTTATCGTTTTCGGCGTCTTCTTTTTCGACACTACCTGCATGCATGCAAGTGTCAAAGAGTCTTTAACAAGTTACGCGTTATCTTTTATAAGTATGGGAGGAGAGGGTTTGACGATTAAAAATATGAGCAAGTAATTCTCCCGTGAAACTAAGAAGATGAAGATGACACGTCCTTACTTTCTACTTTGTTAAACTTACAGTTCTGGCGTTCCTTGGCAAAGACTTGAAGAGCCGATGCTTGATATCCAACTGCTAACAACTGAGTATTTGCACCGATAACTTTGTCAGCTCGCTTTACGCTTGCTTTTGCTCCTAACTCCTCGACCCAGTATAGGAAATTTCCAAATATGGTTAAAGTGGATACACGTCCAGATGACATAACAACATGGCGGCCAGTTCCATTCAGCAAAATACTTTCCACTCTGCATACAAAAAAGACTAAACATCTCAGAGGTTTCAAACAAAACGAAACAGTTGTCTCAATACTTCAGTCAAGAAATGTTCAACTCATAAAGACAGTAGCTAATCTTCATGTTTTATGAATGACACTTTGTGTTAAGTAACATGCTTATTGGAGATACACATACGCCTTCTCTTATGTGTTTCACATATATTCTTTTGATTGGAGAGTGGAATACATCCCAGCTAGGTCAAAAATTGGCTTTTCGGCAGTTCTTAAAAATGACGGAGCGTAAACAAGTGTTCCCCGCGGTAGACGTAAATCTAAAACGGAAAAATACATAAACTGTATTTTATTTGAGGGGCCGGGGCGAAAGAAACAGAGTTGTTATGACTGCGAAATACAATACCAAACCCATTGTTTACTTCCATGGGGAAATTCCCTCCGTACTACAGGCTAAGCGTCTGTAAAAATCTTGATTTCTTCGGATACACGTAAACGCATTTAACTGACCTGCCCGGTGCCGACCAGTAGAGTCTATTCTGTAAGTAATCATAGGCCAGAGCAAACGAGCCGGAGTATCCATCCTCACTGGTATTGACCAGAATCTTCACATCACTTCCATCTGTGTTAGCTGTCTTTAAAGCCACGGGTACAGGCTTTGTGGACCCTTCTGTCCATGCTATAAGCCTATTAAAAGGAATAACGTGCATACTACTACTCAGGAAAAACAAGAGGTATTTATCAATGAACGTTTAACAAGACAATTTTCTTATGATAACTATTTGAAGGCACCAAGAAGAAAAGAAATTCACTTTGTATGAGCAATACTTTCAAACAGAAAAGGATGGAAATAAACGAAAATAGAGCATACATTTGTGTGTACACGTCGCAGCCAACTCTAAACATTGAAATCCATTAAAGTGTTTTAGTACACTTTTTTCAACGACCTCAACA